ATAAACCTTCTTTTCGAATGTAACATAATCTCCAACAACTAACAAAGAAACATAGTACTGTAAATTAAGCGAGCATTAGTAAAGGATTTCCCAGTAAAGGCAGAGTGCAGAATGAACTACGAACAACGGAAACTTACTTCGCCGTCGGTAATTCCACTAACCCCAGCATTGTTCACCTGCACATTAAATAAGAAAAACGAACAATTTTGAATCTTCTGATATCCTATATTCATCAAAATAATTTTATTCGTAAGGCCGTTAAACAAACAAATATAAGCCCCCCTTATATTCATATGTTCGAGACATTAGATATGCATCCATCCCTCAGAATGCACACACACATATACACACAAGACGTATATATATATATATATATATATATATATATATATATATATATATATATATATATATATATATATATATATATATATATATATATATATATATATATATATATATATATATATATATATATATATATATATATATATATATATTTTAATTTTCCAGTGAAATTTCATTGTAAGAGAAGAACATAATTCCGAATGAGCCATTGCTCAAAGCAAAGAATCACGAAAAAAAGGAAAATTAAAAAAATAAGAAATTAAGAAAACAGTTTCCGATCATTACCAAGATATCAAGCTTTCCGATTTGGGAATTAATAAACCCAGCGAGGGAATCGATGCTTGCTGAATCCATTACATCGAGCTGATGAAACATTAGGTTATCAGAGAGACCAAAGCTTTTGAGTTTGTCAACAGCTTCAAACCCTCGCTTTTCGTTTCGCGCAGTCAAAATTACAGAAATACCTTCAGATGCCAGCTGTCTGCATATCTCGAATCCAATCCCTTTGTTTCCCCCGGTAACAACTGCATACCTACAATTATATACATACACACATATATGTATGTATATGTTAGGGCCTGGGGGTAAATATTATTTCTGGAATAATTGATCGGAATAATTAAAAGAATTTCGCGAGATTGTAGTTTGTACTAACTTCATGATTGCAGTACTTTTGAGAGTTGATCCAGCCATGGGTGGTGAAGAAGCAGCTGATGAGTTTTTCATTCACAATTATAATAAATAATAATTAATTATAATATAGGGGCTTTAAGATATGCATCCCCAGTGGGAAAACTTATTAGATGATACACCCAAGCTTATAAAAACATTAGCATGACATCCTTTTGTAAAAAAGTGACTATAGTACCCTTACGGTCACATTAACGCCGTTTGTTTTACAATTTTGGAAAAATAAAATTAAATCCCATCAATTCAGCCATCAGTTATCTCTGAGATTTTATTTCCCCAAATCTCACATTAACCGTATCATAATCCAACCCACTATCCCCCAGTTCGCCCCATCTTCGGCAGATTAGGGTTTTTTTTCCTTTCGTTCTCATCTGCAAATCAACGGCGAGCAACATCATAGAATCCAAAAAAAAAAGGTTTTTTTTCCTTTCATTCTCATCTGCAAATCGACGGCGAGCAACATCATAGAATCCAAAAAAAAAAACAAATTGTCGGTGCCATTAACGTCTACGGATATCTACATCAAGAATCAGATCAAGTAAGTTTTGATTTTTGTTGATTTTGTTTTGAAATTTTTTTATGGGGAATTTACAAAGTCGAATGAACAGGAGAGATGCTATGAAGCGGCAGCAGGACATAACTGCACTAGACCCTGGTACGATTCAAAGCATGTATATTTTTTTGTTTGTTGTTTTATAATTCTGTGTGTATCTATGGATTCCACCGAAGAAATCTATTGATTCGACCGATTGAAAATATGCGCGTAAATATTTTCGTGACAAAAAATTGCAATCCGTTGTTGGTTAATCGAGAGTCTGTATTCCGCTATGTTTCATGACTTGTGAGTGTCGTCATATATTATGTTGAGGTTTAAATTTGTGTGATTGTAGATAGTTGGTGTAAAAAGCCTGTATATTTCTATGATTAACTGTAAAAGCGCAGCTTGATTTCTATGGTAGTCTATGAAATGATATGTGTTTTTATAGTATTCTATAAAAATAACAACTGAAGAAACGTCATTAAAGTTATGTGCAAGAGTGATTCCCTCATGTTGTACTGTCTTTTCTGATGTTTAATTAACATTTGCTATTATATGATGTCTACGTAATTGATAGGATGGCCAATCTTACTTATGTGTAAGTTTGTTGCTAATGAATCGTGTATTTGACTTCTATATACATTTGTAACTATAAATTGATGATGTATTTCTATGGGTGTCTATGATTGGGTATTGTGTTGTCTCTCCTACTTTCTATGGCAGTATGTTGAGTTGATTTGGTACTACAGTAGTCCATGACGTGACAACAGTATAAATTTTGGTACAGTTATTTTGTTGTGATGTTATTTTTTTTTTATTTTTTTTTTCTGCATATCTATGTTATAAACCTATGAAACATATGTTATTATGTGATTCTTTGTTTAACTGATAGCCTGACCTAAGTGGCATATTTAAAGATTATTGCTAATGAATTGTGTATGTTTAATTACATGTATAATAATTGTAGTACTGTGGTATACTATGGATACTGTGATGTTCTATGGTTTTCTGTCAATTGCAATATTCCCAATTTCTTAATATAAAGATACTGACTCCACAATTATATGGGATAGGTACTTTTTAATCTTCACCCAAACATGTAACTTTGATCACAACTAAATATGCTTTGTTATATTCGCAGGAGAAGCCATGAATGTTGCGCGAAAAACGAGAAATAGAAGTGTGTCGCAGAAATAAGAAAAGACATTATAGAACACCTTCTGAATTACAAAATCAATTAGCCATAGAGTAGTCTCATTTATTTTGTCTATTGTACGCAAACGAAAACATTTGTAGAAGTTAGGTTTTTCCGCTCTATTTTGTAGTTGTGTTGAAATATTCGAAACAAGCTGTTGTTTATTGACACAATATCTTATCTATATATGCCTTTTGGAAGGTAGCTTTGTTGATTTTGTATACTTTTGTATATTTGGGTATTGGAATACCATACATTATTGTGCAAATGCAGGTATTCAATGAGACAATGCCGAATACCGTAGTACTCACCATACTATAGTCTTCTTTGGCATACTATGGATTACTACATAAATGTTAGATGAGCTCATTAAATGACAGTGCACCAAAACAAACTGTATTGTATCGTTCTAATGTGTGGCTATTGATGCAATGCTGTGATGATTAAGATTTTAATAATAACTAAACAGTGCAAATAGATTATCTGTAAAAACCATAAACATGCATCATATTTTTCACAAAAAACAAAACAATTTACAAACGAGAAAGAACAGACAAACTTGAGGAAGAATAAATCGTGCAAGGTGTTGAGATATAACTATTGAAAAAATAAATTTAAAAGGAAAACTAAGTAAACACATAAAAGTGCAACAAAACATACCCCGCCATAAAAAGTTTCAATACCGAGAATGAAACAGTTTTGCTGACCCATAAACCCATGAAATTCAGTTTGCTACATTTGTAGAGTTTTGTTCGTTCGGTGTTTGGAATAGTATGCGTAAGGTTGACTAACCACTTGAGGATAATTGTGTACATATGGTATTGAATGTAAAAATACGGCCGCATATAATATTGCAACATACTACAGTTTTCTTTGGTATATTATAGATCACTACACAAACTTTAGATATGCGGACTTAGTGATAAAGTGCACCAACACTGGGCTGGATTGCATCGTTTCTATCTATGGTAATGTGCATGCTGTCATTATTGTGATCCAAATATTAACCGTACAATGCAATGAGATTCTATGTAAAAATCATAAACATATATGATATTTTCCGGAAAATGTTTCGTCTGTGCACAAATTTACTGTATAGCAAACTCATTATGGAATTGTTCAAACATAAATCCTTAAAAGTAAAATTAAAACAGAAAAATAATTTAAATCAAAAAAATCCCTGAAAAGTACGAAAACAGTGGGGACAAAAACATAAATCCATGAAAGAAAGAACAAACATTCGTCACAAAAAAAAAATTCAATAATGAAATGACACAGGGCTGCCGAAAACATAAATCCATGAAAAGAAACAAAGAAAATACTAAGTCCTTAGATCAATGCAAACTTGACACATCTAAACAAAAACTCAAACACAAAAATACTGAATAGCCCTTGTGCATGTCTTTTTGTTGTGGGTTCCAACCTGGTTGCAGCGGCTACACCTCATCCTCCTCGCTACGCTCTCACCCCTCGAAGTAATTATTTTCGTCTTTGGTCTACCACGTTTCGGCTGGAACTCAGGTGGACCAATGACAGCCAACGGCGGATCCGTAATAGGCCTAGCAAATGGAAAACCATGTTGTGTATGTACAACTCATTCCATTTACCCCTCACATAACCGACAAGCATGTCGAAATACATATCATCAGACACATTCTTGATGCCAAAAAATTCACCAAACCTCATCACGATCTTAACAGTTGTCGACATTCTGAAAATAATGTGAAAATAAAAATCGAACATAAGTGAATCTGCAAATAAATATATTAATACAATAATTCACGTGAAATCTTTGTTTCACTGTACAGTTAAACTTTCAAATTTATAAGTGGATCTTGTGCGGAAAAAAAAAACAAAAAAAAAGGTAAGAAAAAAAAAAAAAAAAAAAAAAAAAAAAACTGAACAGACATCAAACCAACAACGCGTGAAGAACCACAGATATGCGATGAGGAAGAAATACCTTCTTGAGGACGAAGATCAAACAAAGCTCGAATGACTACGCTCAAAGTTTAGCCGATTTGCACTGTGTATTATTATATATGGAATCTTCTTCAATTACGTGCATTATATATTAATGAGATTATATAAAGATACAGTTATTATCACGATAGAAAGTGATTGATACGTGATCCCTATTTACAAGGGACGTGATTTATTAAAGAGACATAACTCTTTATAACGCCACACAAACGTCCTGTTAAAACTAAGGGTATTATTGGGATATTTAAAAAAAAAACCCTTATATCATATATTTTTTGAACTGAGGGATTTAGTTACGAAGAAAATATTGGGCCCGTATCCCACATCTAATAACGTTTCGTATGAGGGACCTCTAGCATATTAACCCTATAATATATTACTATAATATTGCCCACGTGTTGCTTTACTATAAATTTTATTGGGAAATTACAGTTTTCACCCCTCAAGTTTACATTGATTTCACATTTGGTACCCATGTTCACAAAGAACACATTTGATCTCCCGCGTTTCAATAATTTAACATTTTTTGTCATTTTCGTCAATTTACCGTCAATTTGTCAGTTAAGACAGTCTTTGGCTGTTTGGGACATGCTTGATTCCGTTAGTACTAACGGAAAATTGACGGGAGGACTAAAAATGTGGAATTTCTGAAACATGAGGGACTAAATGTGTTTTTTGTGAACATGAATGATCAAATATGAAATCGGTGCAAACTTGAAGGATGAAAACTATAGTTTTCCCAAATTTTATTTATACATCAAGATTATTAAATATTTATTTAACGTTACACTCAATGAATTTCACGGGATAAAGTCTTACCACACACGTGAACTGATAATTAACAATGTATTCCACCGGAAGTAGCATCTCAAAAAATCGATTAAGACATTCATCGTAATTTGATCCAAACTCAAATAAAATCAACCACTTGATGAATTGGAGCCAAGACACAAGCATTTTTGCAATCGATCAACCGTCCGTTTATACATAAACACGCGCACATACGAATGCGTATGAATGATGAAATGATACATACTCGTCATTCCACAAAAGACGAAACTTCCTTCTGTAAAAAGAACATTCCGGAAGGGCCGTCATCAGGCAACAATGCCAGCTTAACAGGACCTTCTGCACCTTCCTCTACAGTCAACACACCACTATTGTAGTTGATATCTGTTTTAACATAACCAGGGCAAACGCAATTAATCCGAAAACTCGGGTATTTCTTTGCAAGAATTCTCGTGCCGGAATTCATAGCTGCTTTAGAGATAACATATGCAGCAAAAATCTCAGGCCAGCCTTTGTCTTCTAAACAACCTTCTTTGAAATCTTTAAGGAACACATTTATAACCTCGTCGATTCTTTCTTCCGTAAGATTTTCAATATCGTTGAGCACCCCTTTTGCCCATTCACTCGGTATATACTGAAAAAACGAAGTCGCTTACATATTCAGAAAAAAAAGAAAAAAAAAAGGTCGCTTGTATATTGAAAAAACGAAGTCGGTTACTTTAAGCTGCCCCATTGAAGAGGAAACATTGACAATTCTTGGTGATTTAGAGAGGTGGAGTAGGGGAAGAAGTGCTTCGGTAATTCTTTTGGCACCATAATAGTTTGTTTGAAGGCACTCTGCTGCTAAGTCGTACGTTTGAGTCATTATCGTGCCCCAATTCATTTTTTCACTTCCTTTCTGAATTTCACACACAGTAGAAACGAAGAAGCATTGTGAAAATCATATTCGAAATGTATCATATATATATAAAAGCATTGATCGTTTTGGGTTTGTACGGGTTTATTGCAATCAGTACCCCTGTGTTATATCGAATTGCTAAAAAAATATCCCATGATATTTTTATTGACAAAAAACCTCCTCTGAGTCAATTTTTCTTTTAGCACGCGCAACCCCCGATGCAGGGGTACTAATTGCTAAAAAAAATAACGCGGGGTAGTTTTCTTTAACAATTTGATGTCACACATGGATACTGATTGCAATGAACTCGAGGTTTTATTGTGCATGAAAAGATAGATATATGATCTTTAAAATTGATCCGCCAGACGATAAGAAAACGAAAAATTACTGAATTACCACCCTAGCATCTTGCTGCGAAGCTCTCCAGGCATCGCCGTCGACTAAGGCTCCAAGAACACCTGCATTGTGCACCTGCAAATTAGGAATTCATTACACTCTAAACAAATCAATTATTCTGCAATTCACAAATTTATAAAAATTAAAAAAGAAAAAAAGAAAAAAAAAAAAAAAACTTGTTCATACCAAGATATCGAGCTTTCCGAAATGGGAATCGATAAATTGAGCAAGAGAAGCAATACTTGCTAAATCAGAATGGGCTTGCAAGCCCTCTTTGTTCATTTCGAGCTGTCAAAATTACGGTAATACCCTCAGATGCCAACTGCCTGCAAATCTCTAGTCCTATTCCTTTGTTTGCCCCAGTTACTACAGCACATCTGCAGTTATAATTCATTTTTATTTAGAGAGAGAGAGAGAGAGAGAGAGAGGAAGAAATTTGTATGGAGTAATATTCCTTAACACAAAATGATTTTTTTTTTCTGAATTTAAGAAATTAAACAAGAGAAAGTGTATAGTTTTACTTCTTCAGGGTGAATTCCGCCATGGATGGAAGGCTCAAAGCTCAAATTTACTTGGAAGTGTGGTTTGTGGTGGTGGATTTTTGAAATATGGATTTAGGTACAAGTATAAATAACTAAGCCAACCACGTATGAATGGTGTACAGAGACAGGTGAGTGAGATGTGCACGACTTTGTAACATTATTTGAAATCGGAATTGGAATTTCTGAATTCCGATTAAAAAATATCCGAATTTGGAACCGTATTTTTTATTCCGCGATCTCCGATTCTTCTGAATTTATTTGGAATGAAATTGGAATGGTACATAAAATTAACAGAATTTGGACAAAAAAACATCGTTTTCGATACTATATTCACGATACAATCATACTGCACAGAGTGTGTATCCACAATCCATTTATTCATTTATATATAAAAACACACGTACGCATATAAATAATCGATGCACACTAATCATTCCTCGAAAGAGGAAACTTCCTTCCTGAAAAAGAACATTCCAGAAGGACCATCATCAGGGATCAAAGCCAGCTTCACTGGACTTTCTGCACCTTCTTCTACACTCAACATACCCGTACCGTAGTTCATATCGGTATTAACATATCCAGGGCAAACGCAGTTAATACGAAAACTCGGGTATTTCTTGGCAAGAATTCTCGTGTATGCACTCACGGCTGCTTTAGAGACTATATACGCAGCAGAATATTGAGGCCAGCCTTTCGCTTCTGCGGAACCTTCTTTGAAATCTTTAAGGAACGCATTCACAACCTCGTCGATTCTTTCTTCTGTTAGATTCTCGGCATCATTCAGTATCCCTTTAGCCCATTCGTTCGGTATATGCTGCACAAAAAAAAAAAAAAAAAAAAAAAAACAAAGACACTATGCATTTGAGTAGTGTACTATTTCTTGGATTTATGAAGTAGATGTCGGAAACCGAGAATTCTAGTACCTTGAGCTTCCCCATTGAAGACGAAACATTAACAATCCTTGGTGATTCAGACAGCTTGAGCAGGGGAAGAAGTGCTTCGGTAATTCTTTTCGTGCTGTAATAATTTGTTTGAAGACATTCTTCGGTCAAGTCGTAGTTCTCTGTCATTATCTCGTTCCAGTCGATTTTTGCTCCTCCGTCCTATTTTTTTCACAGAGTAAAACAGAGGAGCATTGAGAAAATCGATACATATATTGGGAAGTGCATGCCTTCAGACAATGTTTTTTTATTTCAAGCATCGTAGTTTGTATAATAATGCAGAGAGAAGTGTGCCGACTTTAGAATGCAATAGAAAATAGAAATTATATACATGTCGTGGCATGTTTGACGGTTTCATAAAAATCGGATCCGTATATCATTTTAAGAAAGACAAACTTACTCCACCGGCAGCAGCCGCATTTGAGGCTCTCCAAGCATCACCGTCGACTATTGCTCCAAGAATCGCTGCATTGTTAACCTGCAAACATAGCCACAACTTAGCTACACACACACACACACACACACACATGTATATGTATATATATATATATATATATATATATATATATATATATATATATATATATATATTAGGAGAAAATCAACTGCTGGTTCTTGTGCTGTTAAAAGAGAACAAGGAAACTCAGGTTACAAGGAAAAAAATGAAAAAGATGTGTTTATACCAATATATCGAGCTTTCCGAATTGGGACTTGATAAATTCGGCGAGGGAATCAATACTTGCTAAATCAGTGACGTCAAGCTGATGAAAGACGACGCCATCATCAGAAATGCCAGAAGACCCTTTGAGATTTTCGACAGCTTCAAGCCCTCTTTGTTCATCACGAGCTGTCAAAATTACGGTAATACCTTCAGATGCTAACTGCCTGCAAATTTCTAGTCCAATTCCTTTGTTTGCCCCAGTTACAACAGCACATCTGCAGTTAGAAAATTTTACAGAGCAAAAAACAAAAAAAACCTTAGTTAATTAGGAATAAATGGATTCAGCCAATGTTGGAAATTGAACGATTACTTCTTCGTGATTTCTGCCATGGATGGAAGCTGAATCTCAAGCACAAGTGATCTAATCGTGTTTGCGATGTTGATTTTGAACTGTGGTGGATTAAACCTACACGATCCCACGTGTATGTATGGAGCACACACAGAAAATTCAAACAGGCAAATAATTCAAACAAGCAGAAAATTCAAACCATCAGAAAATTCAAACAAGCAGAAAATTCAAAAGTTAAACGCAGTTGACAAAGTGTTGATGATAAAAAGTCTTCGATTTTGATTCTTCTATTTGTTTTCATCCGCTCACTTGATTACATCGACTAAAAAACGAAATAAAATAAAACTAATAAAACAAATCGACTCCCAACTCCAAAATCCAAATATTTGTCAATTTCGATTCTTCACCCTTTGCACAATTTATGAAAAAAATAATTCAATTTTTCAAAAATAAAATACCTTACAAATGGTTTGCCGTTTCAAACGGTTCAAAACGACCCAATTTTCCGGTTTTCCGGAATACAATTCATTAGTTATAACAAATATATATAGCAATACAATTTTCATCATTACTCAAAAGAAGCCACTTCCTTCCTAGAGAAGAACATTCCAGAAGGACCATCGTCGGGCATCAATGCCAGCTTCACCGGACTTTCTGCACCCTCTTCCGCAGTCAACGCACCAGTACTGTAGTTGATTTCGGTTTTAACATAACCAGGGCAAACACAATTAATCTGAAAACTCGGGTATTTCTTTGCAAGAATTCTCGTGTGGGCATTCATCGCTGCTTTAGAGAGTATATACGCAGCAAAAAGCTCAGGCCAGCCTTTGCCTTCTAAAACCCCGTCTTTCAAGTCTTTCAGGAAGATATTCAGCACCTCGTCAATTCTTTCTTCCGTAAGTTTTTCGGTATCGTTTAGTACCCCTTTCACCCATTCACTCGGTATATTCTGAAACAATAAAGTTTCTATATCAATTATTCCCCAAAAAAAAAACAAAAAATAAAAATAAAAAAATTAATACGATTGATTACCTTAAGCTTCCCGCTTGTAGAGGAAACATTGACAATCCTTGGTGATTGAGAGAGGTGGAGTAGGGGAAGAAGTGCTTCGGTAGTTTTTTTGGCGCCGTAATAGTTTGTCTGAAAGCACTCTACTGCTAACTCGTACGTTTGACTCATTGTCTCTCTCCAATTCGTTTTTTCCCCTGCCGTCTGTATTCATTCACACAGTATTATTTACTTCGATTTCCCGACATCAGAAGTGTTGTATAACAAGGCAGATATAATTGCCGACATTAATTAGATTACAATACAATTACACAAAATGCATGATAAACGAATAAACGAACTTTTTACCCCACTGCCAGTTGATGCTCTCCAAGCATCACCGTCCACCACGGCTCCAAGAATCCCCGCATTGTTGACCTATATATACAATATACATATATATAAACAACACGAAAAAAAAATGATGTAAGAGAAAATCAACTGCCGATTCTTATTTCGATAAAAGCCTAATACAGCGAGAAAATCGAGCAATATCATATAACAAGTCAGACACAATGATTATGTTAAAACAATAAGCAGCAAATAAGAATCATCAAATTCAAAAAATTCAAAAACAAATCGATCTTTCACATTGGTTAAATATCTTTTACTTCATTAATCTTCATGTAGTGACAAATAATAAATACCACTAAAAGAAAATGCAAACAAATAAAATACATACCAAGATATCGAGCTTTCCAAATTGGGAATTGATAAATTGAGCGAGGGAATGAATACTTGATAAATCAGCCAAATCAAGCTGATGAAATACGACGTCGTTTGAAAGCCCAGACCCTAATTTGAGATATTCGACAGCTGCGAGCCCTCTTTGTTCATCACGAGCTGTCAAAATTACGGTAATACCCTCAGATGCTAACTGCCTGCAAATCTCTAGTCCGATTCCTTTGTTTCCCCCAGTTACTACAGCATATCTGCAGTTACAATTCATTTATTTATTTATTAAAAAAGAAAAAGCAAAAAAGAAAAAATGGCCGAAGTTTGCAAATTAAAAAAGAGGAAAGTGCTTAGTTACTTCTTAGTGACTGCCGCCATAGATGGGAAAGCTCAAGCTCAAATGTTATCGTGTTGTTGGCGGTGTTTATCTTTGAATGGTGGTGGATTATTACAATTTTAAGGGCAAATTACCTTTTAAGGTAAGTTCAATTACAAAAATACCCCTCATTCTTTAAAATTCAGTCAACCTATGTATTGTCTCACGCGTTCGTATTTACTTATTGAGAATTCTTTGTAAATTAACCGTAACTCAAGGGATGGTCGTAATTTACCCTATCTTTAAACTAGTTACGAATTACGAGCCGCACTCGGCAAGTCTTAATCGAAGGCGAAGGGGCTACCGGTTGGAGCCTGAGCCTTCCATTTGTTTATCTAGTCCAGTTTCATAAATTGGTGAAATTCGAATTTGGTTGACTTTATATATCTTCTTGCCAATTATATATAGATATTAAAGAAAAAAAAGTTTACATATTTTCAAAATCCAGACTCATTATTCCTCAAAAGAAGAAACTTCCTTCCTAACAAAGAACATTCCAGAAGGTCCATCATGAGGCATCAAAGCCAGCTTCACTGGACTTTCTGCACCTTCTTCTACACTCAACACACCCGTACCGTAGTTCATATCGGTTTTAACAAATCCGGGGCAGACGCAGTTAATATGAAAACTCGGGTGTTTCTTGGCAACAACTCTCGTGTAGGCGTTCATGGCTGCTTTAGAGACTATATACGCAGCAAAATACCGAGGCCATTTTTTGTCTTCTAACAACCCCTCTTTGAAGTCTTTAAGGAACACATTCAAAACCTCGTCGATTCTTTCTTCTGTTAGATTTTCAACATCGTTCAGTATCCCTTTTGCCCATTCGTTCGGTAAGTTCTGAAACGAGAAAGTTTAGACGTATTCAAAAACGATTCTATAATTATGCTCTATTACATTTACAACCCCAATAAGGGTATTTACGTAATATACCTTGAGCTTTCCCATTGAAGAGGAAACATTGACGATCCTAGGAGAATCGGAAAGCTGAAGAAGGGGAAGCAGTGCTTCGGTGGTTCTTTTGGCACCGTAATAATTTGTCTCAAGGCACTCTGCTGCTAACTCGTACGTTTGACTCATTATCTCATTCCAGTTGATTTTTGCCCCTCCAGCCTTTGCTCATACAATTTAAAAAAAAAACGAGCATTTAGAATATACGTTTCAGTACAACTAGACGATGCATATTTCGACGTAATTATGTATCTGTTGGTGGTTTTATTACACAGGATTATCAATTTATTGGTAAACTCGAGTAAACGTATATAAAATAAAAAGATGAAACGAACTTACCCCACTAGCAGCTTCAGTCGAAGCTCTCAGAGCATCAGCATCGACCAAGGCTCCACCGATCCCTGCATTGTTCACCTGCAAAGTGGCATCGATTTTAGCTACATATATATACTACACATGAACAACAATGGAAAACACAAAGCCACTAGGGTATAGTCGGGAAAAGAAAACAGACAAACGGTAGACCTCGATTCCAAGGGACATGATAGTCAGATTAAACAAGAACCAACCATCAAACCATGGTTAATTCAAAACAAAACCATAACTACTGTAGTTAATAACAACTTAATTCTTCATAATTAAACATTCTGACCAAAAAAATATCAAGTAAAACTGGCTCAATAATCATAATTAAATCTGAATTCTGAACCACTAAATAACATATAAATTAAAGCACAAAAAATAAGGGGAAAAACAATCGGATCCAAAGAGAATAAATACTTCCGCACATACCAATATATCAAGCTTTCCAAATCGAGAATTGATAAATTGAGCGAGGGAATCGATACTTGCTGAATCAGTGACAGCTAGCTGATGAAAGATGACGTCATCATCAGAAATGCCAGAAGAACCTTTGAGTGTTTCGACAGCTGCAAGCCCTCTTTGTTCATCACGAGCTGTCAAAATTACGGTAATACCCTCAGATGCTAACTGCCTGCAAATCTCTAGCCCAATTCCTTTGTTTGCCCCAGTAACAACAGCACATCTGCAGTTAGAAAATTTTACAGAGGAAAAAAATAATGGATTCAGATGATTGTAGAAATTACTCCCCCGAGAAATTAAAAGGAAGAAGATGGGAGAAATTTTGGAAATTGAACAAGAGGCGGTGCTTAGTTACTTCTTGTTAACTTCCGCCATTGATGGAATTGGAAGCTTCAGCTCAATTAGTCGTGTGTTTGTGATTATTATTTTGGATTATGGAGGGTTTAATTTAAACTAGAAATTTGGGGGATTTAGGCCCACGTGTATGCATGGAGTACACAAATCAGAAATATTATATATATGCTTTCTTTCGGAGGCGCTATCTCCACCGCATTTTTTCTCTTTTGCACAAATCAGAAATATAATTGAATCGAGCTTAAATTAAAACAAATTTTAACTCGATTATATTAAGGAAAACTTTATTAGATGTTTATTGGGCCCATAGCCTAGAAGTAGAAGCCATAATGGACTACTTTATTAGATATTCGGCTGTTTATTGTATTATATATGCATTGACTTAATTGCAAATCAATTTCCTAAAAAAATGTAGGAATTATTTGAAATACAAAGTAAATTTAAACATAAACTAGCTTATGTGGTTATCGAATCGAAAAATATCGGCGTATCGTTTTCCTCCGTGTATCCTATCGTATCGTACGATATTTAACCAACTATTAAAAATTATAAAATATATATATCTACATAATAGAAATACTTTAAAAATGTAAAATGTAATATTTTAAAGTCAAACCACTCATTCATAATTTCTTTAAAAAAAAATTATATCATAAAATAGGACATAAGTCATAACTGCTCATAAAAATAACATCAACAAAGTTCGACTTTTGATCTCTAATTTGTAAAAAAACTAATCCATCACTCATAATCTTCAAGATCAATGTAACTTAAATTTTTTTCATCTACCAGTTTCAAACGAGTGTCTTCATCCTCATGTTCATCTATCTCTTCAACTTCATCAACTCCAACTTTGGCTTTTTCCTATTTTCTCTTATTAATATAAAACTTGACGTGTAAATTTTTTGGATCTAATATATGTAAAAAAAACATTAAATAATATTGAAATTCGTTTTAAGACCCTGATAATGTGAATATTTCGTTTTCTTCTTTTTTTCTTTTATTTTTTTAATATTTTGACTAATATCGTATCGCGATATGGCGATACGATACCATATCTGGCAATATTTAACAGTATTTATGCATAGCCGATACATATTATGAGTTGTATCGTTTTGATTCGAACCGTACCGTCTCGCGATATATATCACGGTATCTCGCGACTTTAACTACTATGCTTATGTCATCATTGATATTTCACAACAATAATACGTTCGGAATTTAAAAATAAAAAATAAATAAGAAAATCCAGTTAAGAATGAGTCCATTTATTGGAAAGAAGGCTAAGAAAGGATAAATATTTGTTACAACAATAAGAAGATAGTTTTTGGCAGAAGAGCCTATTAGAAAAAACCAGAAACAGAACAGCTTCTGTTGCTTTAATTTATATACCTGCTCTATCTATTTGAGTTGGTTTAAATATCTCTATATGAGTTCATTAATCAGTTTTAAAACATATAGTGGAGTAGCAGACCGCAGAGTTTTTCGAAAGTTCTGCAGGAAAAAAAAAATAAATAGCCTCGAGAGAAAAAATAATGGCTAGAACGAGCTTCACTTTTCATGGACAAGAGGGCTGTAAATAGGAAACCACATGTTCTCTTTCACATATCGAATGGTTTCATCCTGCAATGCAACGATTATCGAATCAATGATTAGACGAATTGATTAAATTGTGGATACAATTCAATTGAACGAGTTTTAAGTCTCTAGGAGCTTCTAATAATTTGTCCAGAAAAAAATATTATTTTTATTGTAGAAGGTATTTAGTGTATTATGACGTACCTTTGACATGTGTGACAAATCTCTGGGGCCCACTTCGCCGTGTCCTTCAGCCACTTCTTCAGCAACTGCTGACCTCAAAACAGCAGCTCCGACCTCTGCTGTGATATCTCGGATGCTGACCAAACGAAATTACAAGTTCAGGAAGAAATGTACAAAAGAAGAAATAGATATGAAGAGCCAAATATGTTTTAAATAAAACTAGAAAAGAATAATTAGTTGATCTTAATTTCAAGAATGGGGATCAGGTAACAGAACGATAGTGTACTTGTCGTGATGGAAACGAGAGAGCCTCCAAATATTTGAAATTTTTACAACGTTTCACCTAAAAGTGAGATAATTTGGCTAGTCCCACGGTGTAATGTGTGTAACATAGTAACTGGTATTGCTTTTTAGTTAAGGTAATGGCTATTTGAGATGATGCTTTCTCACCCAGTTAACATAATAAAGTTACTTACCGGTCAATAACTGGTAACCTGATAAAGTTGCTTACCTATCAATAGAAGGATAGAGGACGCCTCTTTGAATTTCTTCATCGGTCATATATGAAGCAAGGCTGCAATAACAACCACAGATAAAATTAGTAAAATTTCGGCTGTGATAACCCCAAATTGAACACTTGTTTTATGTCTCCAAATATGACAGATAGAATCTCATAGAAAAATGAAGTTGCTGATCCATACCACTCAGAAGCTGCTTGCAGCATTCCATCAGTTATTATACGGGCGCCAGCAAGAAGACTTCCCAAGCCGATTCTAAATGAGCAGAACACAAATTCATGTAAGAGACTAAAAGCAATAGATGAAGTTATATATATGTATATATAATTATAAATGCAGTCGTGGGAATTACTACAGACCCTGGAAAGAGGTACATGTTGTTTGCTTGATTCACATGACCTATTTTCCCATCCCCTGCATCAAATGGAACAAGTTAAGTCTCATTATAAAAAATACAAAAACTGAAAGAGACTACTTTGATCTCTTCATCCCCCAGCCTAAAAAAATAAGGGAAGACACTAGAACTAAGATGCCCTTTCTTTAGTAGGGTTGAGGAACCAGCTCATTTCTTTTAACCTAGAAATTATGTAATCTTTGGCGAATTAAGAGAGTACCTAGATCAACATTATCGAAAGGGCTTCCACTTGCAAAGACAATCTTGTCACCAGCGTGTTGGAAAGCCTCAATAGCAGTGCATTCAGCTGTTCCACAAATCATGTAAAGATAGTAGTTCAGATTTTCATGCCCAATAGAAGTTTTATGAGTAATTAAAATGTTAGAAGTAGCAGAGCATAGAAACAAACCATTTGCCGTGGGATTTGACATTGCAAAAATAGCAGGTTTAATGGAATCTGATTCTCGCATGGCCTTTAGGACCTGTTCACAAACTCAACAATTAAGCTAAGAATACATTCATTTTGAGAACATTCAAAATTCAAATACTCAGTACATATGCTATAACAAAAGTCTGGGGTGATGATAACGAACCTCTTCGCTGAAGATACCGCCAACTCCAGATAAACCAAGAAGCACATGCGGCTTAACTTTTTTAACCTGCATAACGGTTGGATTACTGCAATTATTATCTATATACACAAGGATCTCCAGTCCAAAAAGATGGAAAAGAGAAACAGGCTTAAACAAGCCATCAGTTTGGCTCCAGAAGAATATATAATTTAGTCGTGTTGGAGAAAGACTTACCACATCAAGGAGACTGGCTCCCTCGCTAAGTCCAAGTTCTGCAATCTCACCTTGGGATTTAGCAAATGGAGCAGCTGCTGGATCAACACATTTTCTTTCTTTCGTTATAAGACCCTGCGGATGTATATAGCCGAATTTGAGATGACAAAAAGAAGCCGGTTGAAAGAGAAAGTCCTTATAAACTTGATACAAGCTAGATTAAATGGATGGTGGTGGGATTCGAACACAAGACCATTCATTTGGAATGACTCGGTTACCAAGTTAGATAACAACTTCTTCTAAAAGTTTTAAGTTTTTAGTTAGGTGAATCATTTGATACTTATAACTTCAGAAATGCTAAAGCTTTGGAGATAACTGAACATTATTCATAATCATCTTGAAGTTGTGGATCATTACATCTTTGTCAAGAAGGAAAAAGTGAGGATCTGCTTCTGGTCCAGTCATTCTTGAAACAGCCTGTAATGCCATCTTAAGAACACCAAGTCCAGCACTGTAATAAGATATTGAAGAAAGAAAATAAAGTTTTCCACAGACCATTTAATTTCCTGAACATTGTCATTAGAAAAACGGAAGGTCTATCAAAACTAAGAGTATATGCTACCTTCCAGCTCCCACTACAACTATCTTCTGGTCTGCAAAATCAGTCAACGGCCTTCCCTGGGCCCTAACAGTACCAAGTAGCCCAGCCAACGCAACACCAGCTGTTCCCTGTACATAACAAGGTAAGGACAAGTGCATCAGTCAATCAGATGCCTCTAACTGAATTTACAGTCTATCCTAGTTAGAGAAAAATAGCAGGGCAATTACCTGTATGTCATCATTGAACATGCAAAACCTTTTACGGTAACGTTCTAGTGTCTCAAAAGCCCACTTCATTTGAAAATCTTCAAACTGAGAACATTATTCCAACAACAAATTGTTAGTCGTGTATTTGACAAGAATATCATTAAAATGAGTATTTCAGAATAAAATAGACCTGCACAATAGCCTTCGGCCAACGTGCATGAACAGCTTCCATGAATTCATCAACAATCGCCAAATATTCTTCTCCTTCAAGCCTAGGTTGTCTGAGTCCTAAATCTGCAATCATGTGAAAAACCAACAATTACAAAGTCTTCTTTTAAGGAGAATGTTGAAGCTGTTTTTCAGTGGAAATCAAGAAATTTCATAAGCTGGAGACTGGACATGGAACATATTGAATATTGAAGATAACATTACTCCATGAGCAGAAGAAAAATCATTAAGCCAAATCTTTTTCCAACTGAAACAATATGGTTTGGGAAAAATACCACCCCTAAAGCAAGAATTTAAAAAAAAAAAAAAAAAAGCAAGATAAATAAGTCTACTCACAAAGGCGATCTTCAAGTAGCTTCTGATTGTTTGTACCAACATCAAGCATAACTGGCAATATCTGGCCATGGAAATAGACAAATTCAGGCATTCAAGAATATAAGTAAAATATAGGATTATAAGAGGAGAATATATAATTCCAAGACTAATAAATAAATGTAGACAATTTATGCAAAGTTCTTGCAACATATGTAAACACTGAGAAAAGAGTGGACATACTCTTTGTGGGTTGATGCCAGCAGCTGCTACGTACATGTCTAGCTTTCCAATGGGAATACCGATTCCCTGAACACCAAGATCACCGAGACCAAGAATACGACTTCCATCTGTCAGCACAATCATGTCCACCTGAAAAGAAAATTGTCAACAGAATATGAAGCTAATAATTCGTTTCATTTTCATTCTCCCCAAAATAAAATCAAACTCTATTTTACATTTTTCAATACATTCCCATCCAAAACAAAGTTCTCTAACTCCCAGAATATTTCAAAACATCCTAACCTTTACACCTCAAAACACATTCCCGAAAATAAAACTGAACATATCAAATTCCCCTGTATATTTACAGAACTCCCAAAATAAAATTAAAGGTTAAATCTATAGTGGGTGAATAACTCAGTTCAGGAAAAATGAAAATTGTCTATAACTGGGAAAAACTAAAATTCTCCATGAGGACGAGTACATGAAGATGGCATTTATATTGTAATGGAGATTGGAGATAACATATAAGTCTGACAAGATACCTGGTGAGAAGGCCAATTATAGATCATAGACATCATCTCCCCCTTATCTTTGGCACTGAAATACATTCCCCGTGGACGCCTAAACAATCCTGAATAATTTTGGCATACCAATCCTACAGTGGGTGTGTATATTATTGGAGCAAAGTCCTTGATGTTATCCATCAACACCTGCAAGTTGAAGTAAATGATTTGTTGAGCTGATATCGCTTTAAAACATACTGTTATTGTTCACAGAAGCCATATGACAACGTACTTACTCTGTAGTATAGTGTCTCATTTCTGTCGTGGAGTCTATTCAGAATCCTCCATTTTGCAAGTGATACAACATTATATGATTGACCCTGAGTATTTTTCTCCAACGATCTATAAGATTCCACTGACATCAGAAGTAGAAAAAAGGTTAAGTTCACGCCCTTACTTCTGCAGATTAAATTTGCGAAATATATATTGTATATATGTCACACACGGACATACAGGGGAAGATCACCCTCAAATCTATCGCACCTTCAATATTACAAATATTATAGTAATTAAAACCATGAGTCAACTCAGCTATTTGATTGACTCTCCCAAACTTATTTCCTCTGTTATCATTTTTCTCCAGATGAATCATCAAAGCACAACAAAATTTTAGATGTCAAGCTTTCTAGAAAATAAGAAAACTATATACAAGTTTATGATATGTTGAAGTTCGAAGAAAGGAGAAACTGTCTACTTGCAAGTGCAAACAAAGTTTTAGGCAAATATCATCCAGTAGACAGTGTTGTTCTAATATAACAGAAGAAAACATCAGTTAACCTTTCATTTTGAGGTTTGGGAGAGGCAACTCCAGTAACAAGAATTAAACATGTGGTTCTAGCTAGTTCAAATAAAAAATAACAGAAACAATAGGTTAATCACTTCAACAAGGATAGTGAAGCTAGCAAACTCACTGAAACGGTCATATTGCTGCTCAAAAGATATCACTCGTGGTGGAAGCAGACCACGTAATCCCAGTCGATCTCTTTCCGTTATAGGAAAACCGGTATCCTGCATATGTGGAATTTCAACAATTACATACTTCATCTAGAAGCAAATCAAATATGTATTGCTTTCCCATTCCAAACTGTAATTTCCAGTTATGTCAAATTATCAAGTTAGTGTGTTTGATCATTCTCCTAAATCACAATGAGAATTGATTTCTGCTAAAGTTATGAAGCAACATATCAAGTAATATAAAATCTTAGAAACTTGGTAATTTAAATTTGATCATTCACCACAACTCATTTGGAAAAAAGAAAAACCGCACATCATTTGCAAGAATAAAAAGAAAAAGACTCAGTTATATTTTAAATATAGCCAAATGAAAGATGCAAAAGCAAACCCAACTTTCAGGATACTTGTTCCTTTTAACTGACGTCAGAGCCCCTTTGTTCATTCAATGAGAGGCAGAAACCTCAGATAACTTCAATTACAGTATAAGCAAAACCAGTTTACAGTATTCATTTACTCTATTATTTCTTATTTTCCAACATATCCATGCCGCTTCAATGATCAAACAGTTTTATCGTAATTACATTCAATTCAACGTAAATAAACTGCAGAGATTAAAAAAAAACCGAGAAATCAATGACATATGAAACAAACAATTTAAATCCAAATACAAAAATACAAAATAGATCTCTGAAACAAAGTGTAATGTAACAAATCAACAATTTCCAAATAACAACATTGGAATCAAATCAGTGAACCACAATAAAGCTTTCAATAGAAAAAAAAATGGACGAACCTTGTTAAACCAGGGATCGTGGAGAATATCAGCACCACGCTTGTGCACCATACAGGGACCAGGAATCGCCGTCGACAGCCGCCGCGACTGGCGGAGACTCGCCGCAGCAGATCGCGCCACTCTCCACATCATTTCAGCCCTAAATTAACCCAAACAAATTCAACAAACTTCAGACGAGATGGCTCCGGCTTCCAAAAAGCTCCACAATGTCAAACAATGGTGTCTGCGTGTGCGTGTGCGCCGGTCTATTTATACATATAAAAAAACTCAGTCGACGCGCATACTTACAAAAATCTGTATCTATATATATATATATATAGATCAGATTTTGGATTTTATCTTTTTTTTTTGCTGCGAGATTGAGAGAAGAGTCTGTCGTGGAAAGTCGAAGCTGTTGAGAGTGAAGACGCGAACTTGACTGCAGCTGCCCGGAGAATACGGGCATGAGAGAGAAAGATAACCTATTCCCTATGGTGCCTGACTGGTAAATTGGTGTATTATTATTAGTAGGGGTGCCCGTGCCCGGTTTGTGACAAGGGTAGAACCGTCATTATACGTTTGAACTTCCAATTATGGAGGCGTGGGGTCGAACGCGGTTGCTGCTAATAAGAGAATAACACTTGGAACTTTATTACTGTAGCTGAGGAAGGTCAGAATTTGAGCTATTTCGGGAAATAAAATACAGTTAAACCTCTGTAAATTAATACAGTCGGGACTAGGGAAATTCTATTTTTTTTGCGAATTATTAAATTATCGAATTAATAATTTAACACATTTTCACCGAGTTGGAATCCAAAAAAACTATTATTTAATACATTTTAATCGAGATTATTAATTTATTGAATATTAATTTATCGAAAATTTAAAATCTCTTTTTCAAATTTTTTTTGGCTGATTTAGGATTTATTAAAATTAAATTTAAGATGCCAATAATTAAGTTTTTTTGATTTCTTGTGACTAATTTACTTTGCAAATTATGTTAAATATGGATCTATCAGATGCTACACCTGGTAAAAAACGAAGGATGATTTTACAATAACGATTTATATAAATAATTATTCATTAAGTACACATATACACAAGTATGTGTTTTTATGTATAAATCAATGGGGCAGGCAACATGATCATTCTACAAAACCATAAATATGTTGCCCTAAGTTATTTGAGCTTGACTGATTATTGTAATACAACCTCGTTTGATTGGTAATATAAGTTAGGGTAAATTACAAACACCCCCTGAGATATGACCAAATTACAAAAACACCCCTCTTGTTTGGATAATTACAACCACCCCCCTCAACTCATCAAATTTAGTGGAATCTTCGAGATTATATGAAATATTATCACTTTTGTACCCATTTTATCCCATTCAAACTCTACATTATGAAGCAAGATGACCATAATATGTGATTTTTAGCTTGTATATATCAGTTTGTGGTGCATCGAAAACTGTATTTTTTACACAAAGAGTACAAACTAGAGCACATTTCACGGAATCTAGATGACTATGTTGAATTTGGCACCATAAAGGTAAGAAAAAATCATAGTTGAGGGGGGTAGATGTAATTATCCAAACAAGATGGGGATTTTTGTAATTTGACCATACCTCAGGGGGGTGTTTGTAATTTACCCTATAAGTTAAGATTAATTAAACAATTGAGATTTATTTAATGATTGACTAATCCAATAATCCTCGAGTGTAACTATGAAAATATGCATTGGTTCCCCTAATACAATTGGATTAATCTTGATCATGCGATTTTGGTCATTGAGATGCTACACACAGTAAAATATATCGGGTGAAATAACTTTTCACTAAACACAAATCAACGATTTATAATCACCCGATATATATCATCAGGTGTGGCATCAAGTAAACCGCGTTTTTTAGAATATGAAAATAAAAGGTTATAAAATCTCGAGAGTATCGGATGCCCAAATATCATCTTTTATACCCTTTTTCACTATCAATTTGTTATTATTACTATAAATAGGAGAATTAAGGTGGGAAGCATTTCTGGAAAAACAAAATCATTAGAAACAAATCATAAATTGCCAAATATATTCTAAAACTATAAATAAAATCGAATTTAATTCGGAATTTCAGACAGAAATATACAACGTATGACCCAACCCGCCGCGTAAGAACCAAGTCCACAAAAAACAAAAACAAAAAAAAAAAAAAAAAAAAAAAAAAAAAGGTACCGAATTTGACTGCAACCCAACTAGTAGCTTTGAAAAGGTAAAACGGCATCGTGTGCTCATGTCTGCACTTTTATCCACTCTTTTTGGTTGAATGACAAATCTTTTCTTTTTAATTTTAACCACCCCATGTAAATCAATCAACTTCTAATAGAATTGATTCTTCCCTATTCTCCTTTTTTGATTTTAATTTTATATTTATTAATTTTTTAATGCTGTCTTTTTCGGTGATACACATAAGCAGCATAATTTTCCAGCATCACAATAAAGGAAGCAAGGATTTACCTTTTTTTCGTACAACACCGCAGAGGAATCTATCTCACAAGTTTTCCGACCTAGTTCTCGTGTCGGCCCTGGGTTTTCTCCATGAAAAACTCGATTTTCTGTGTTTTCAAGAAATAAAGTCAAATTAAAGAACTATTTATCAATGCAAATGTGTTGCTGCTTAATACGGTTTCAAGATCACAATATGGATAAACTTTGGCGTAAGCTTTAATATTAAATTACTGCAGATCACAATATGATGTAAACTTTGATGTATGAAAAAAAAGTATCGACTGGGTTATAAGATAATTCATTTATGGATGAAGATGTTTCGTTGAAATACTTGAGCAGACACATGCAGTGAAAGACAAACACACTCACCTTCACCGATTTATTAACTTCTTCGAGCTTGTGGAGCATCAAATCTGTAGGTGCTACAACTCTCGGTTCGGTTCGAACGTGTAGAGGAGAACCTATTGTCTGCAAGATATACAATATTATTACATCATGAATATAGTTTTTTAAGGAGCTTTTTTGTTGGACGTCTCGGGGTCCGATAAAATAATTGGATTTTCATTAGATTAATTAATCTTATCTTGGTTACTCCTATCTTGGCAACCAAACGAGGCCAAAGTTTGTGAGGCAAGGCAATAGTGATTTGTTATTACCTTCCAGCCTTTAGAAGGCGAACTCAGAATCGCAGGACCCAAGGTGAAAGATTCCACGGGAGATAAGCTTTCACCTCCAGCAGTTTGAAAGTTAGTTTTCCAGCTTCCACTAGCATCCTGTATAGCCTTTGAAGCCTGAGTTACTACAACCTGCATAAATTCGATATAATTAAAAAATTAATATAAATATACACTTAAATATTACAGTATAATTTAACGGTACTTTTCGGTTAAGATTACCTTCCTCAGTAGCCCAGGGTTATGAACCCCTTGAACCTGTAATTCATCGACTGGTGCGGCTTTACCATTAGCAATACTTTCAACTCTAAAGGTATGCAATCCATACACTGATTGCAAGCAGCCTGCATTAGATAAATAAATGTGACGATACAATAAACGAGAGGAGAACAAAGATTATCGACAATTAATCAAGCACAAAGAAAAAGATACGATAAAGTAATGCCTTAAGATAAGTATTTTATGCTATACAAGAATATTGGCAGAAACGAAGTGTGCATGTATGTCAAAAGCATCCCAAGCTATGAAAGCATTTGAAAAGTATCACTGAAACGTAATACCGTGTCAAAACCTTCAAGAAATTAGTTATCAACTCTATCAGCCAGCTAGAATAAAATGAAACCTCAAAGTGTAAAGAACAATGCAAACAAAACCAAAAAGAGAAGCTTATAGTTCATAGTCTCGTTCGTACCTTGTTCAATTATAATATCTATCACCAAGAAAAGAGGTACACGCTTCTCAATTTTTATTTCTCCACAGAAGGGTATAAACGAAGGTCTACATACCTTAACAAGAAGAAGAAAAAAACATTAATGGATTAGCTCTTACAAAGTGCAAACAGACATGAACAAAAACTCAAACACGAAGATCAAATACCTCGTAAACTATTTCAGCTGACGTAACATATAGTTTCCTTGATGCAAGATCTTTTCGTAGCACGTATCTTCTAAAGGGCAAATAAAGTAGCATAACTATCCCAACTCCCCACGCTAGAACCAGCAGTAGAGATATTGAAAGCCATATAATCGTATCGTACTGAATATTTTTCGACGAAAGTTCTTCGAACGAAGCTGTATATAATACTTCCACGGGATTATCAGCTTCTTCTTCGATATCCAGCTCAGATGCAGGACCAGAAAGCAGCAAGTCCTTGGCAGATCCAAACATCATCTTATCAATTCAATCCGAGCATCAATATTCTGTTGCAGTTCATCGAAATAACCGGAGAAAATTCAAAAAACCGATATAATTACAGCAATGACTAACATACTTACAAAATATCCAGCGTTAATCATTTAATTGATCAACAACCTTCTTAACCGTACCTTTTTCGCAGAATTAACGGGAATTTATTGCACAATTACGTATGTGTCAATATGCTAAACCTAATTAACTGAAGATAAAAACACCATTAATCGGCAAAAGCAGGTAACTGATAGCTGATTAGTGACTATATAACAAACAATATACAGCTGAATAACGATTATATAAGAAATCATAATCATGCTACGTAGCTCTGATGAAAAAAACAAAACAACGAAATAAGATTAACTAACAAGAGATCAATTTAAACTGCGAGTTTCCCTAATCAAATCGAAATGAAACAAATTACGAACTTGCCTTTTTACTATTATTCTGCAGACTGAAAACCCCCAATTTTTTTGTGTAAAATCAAAAATCGAAAACCTTCGAACCTTTTAGGTGCACATTTTTCGTCGATGAACTGAGGTAAACATGAAATTATGGGTGAATTAATTTTTGCATGAGGGTTTGGTCTTCAATCGAAAATCTGAGTACTTCCTATTTTCGATTCAATTGCAATTGGAACAAACGAAGAATAATACGTTGGGCCTGGCAAAATTTGAATGGAAAATGGGCTGTAATAATGTGTACCATAATTTTTTGGGCCTGGCAAAATTTATGTAATAATTAATTTCATATCTTTTGAGCCCAACATGAGGTCCAATAACTGGGTGAATTTTTATCGTTGATCAACAGACACTAATGTGTGTTTGTGTGTTTGTGTACTCGTGAATGATAAATATTTGCCCGATGTATTTACCAGGTGTAGTATAGTATAAAGTATAAACCAACAATTGGACACGTTTCGACTTTGTTTGGCCTCTTTTGCAAAACCTTCTCAATATTCTCCAATGGTAAATTACAACCACCCCCTGAGGTATGGTTAATTTACGAAAAAAATCCCTCTTGTTTGGATAATTACATCTAACCCCCTCAACTATGATTTTTTCTTACACATCCACCCTTATAGTGTCAAATTCAACATAATCATCTCGATTTCGTGGAATGTGCTCTAGTTTGTACTTGTCTTTTGTAAAAATACAGTTTCTGATGCACCACAATCTGATATATACAAGCCGAAAGATACATATTATGATCATCTTGCTTCAAAATGTGAAGTTCGAATGGGATAAAACGGGTACAAAAATGATAATATTCCATATAATCTCGAAAATTCCACTAAATTTGAAACCACAAAGGTGGACGTCTAAATATATTTATAGTTGAGGGGGTTGATTGTAATTACCTAAACAAGAGGGGGGTATTCGTGGTTTGAACATATCTCAGGGGTGGTTGTAATTTACCCTATCCTCCAAAAATGAAATTATGTTTATTAAACTTCTCAAATTGAATTTCAGGAATTATTGAGGAAAAATTTCTCATTTTCATACATGATTCTGAGAAAAGAGTTCCAGTGAGAAGGTGCTTCGAGCGTCGGGCAATTGGTGCCTTTGTCGGTGGATATTTGAAACGAGAAAGATACGATCGAAAACAAAGTCTTGGAGTGCCCGATTACAGTTCCATGCGTTGGAACTGTTAGGGTTTGTTTATCATTTTGTAATAATATAGAATGTATTCGATAATTGTATGCATGTGTTCAAACGGGTACCCAAAAAATGACCTAGTAAAACTTAATTATTGGGTCGAATAAAATACAAAATTACAAATTCATTTAGCTTTTTATTCAATTATAAACCGGAAATTAGTTAGTTTCCCTCCTTTGGAATATTCCTTCCGGCCCATCACAACTTGGCCTATCATGCCAGACTTTCAACGGTAATAAACAAACAAATCCCAGCTCACGCGCGCCGCCGCGCGTGAAATCCACATTTTCCCATTCATTAGGAATTCCAACGCAACTATTATTCGAATCTTGCCCTTTTCTCCAGCTCATCGCTCCAAATTCAACATCAAAAATAATCAGAAAGGAAGAATTACACCAACTGGTAGTAATTCTTCTCCAGAAAGGAAGAAGAAGAAGAAGGGTTAGCGGATTCAACAATCCCCGTGTTTCTCCGCAAAGCAATACACCAGGCACGCATTTCTTATTTGCATTTACTGATCAGAAAAAAAAAAAAACTTCTGTGTAGTTTCTCAATCGTCGATTTGTTGTTTGATATATTTTTCCGTTATTTTCAGCCATTCGATTTCATTTTTAAATTACGATTTGGTGTTTTTGGATGGGGTTGATGAAATTTGTATCCGTACACATGTTTTTTTCTTCCGATGTTTGAACCCTACGATGGTAATTTTTTTTTTTAATTGAGCTGGAGAAAATGGATTGTGTTGTCTTTCAATTTCTTCCAGTGACTGGAATTTTGTTCTGAAATAATTGCAAGTTATTAGGCTCGTATTCCGATTTGTTTTCGAATATAACTCAGATTATTATTATGTTTGTTGTTAAGGTATAATATGGAATTATTTTGTATTTGAATGGCTAATTAGTAATTAGCATGGGTGTCGATTGGGTAAGAAATAATGGCAACTGGGTGAATTTTACGTTATTTTTTTCTATGATTTCCGACAGGATCGTTTTCTGGTATACCGTAGAAGTTAGCTATTTCGTTTCTTTGTGTGATCTACCTTCGAAAAGAGGCTATTGGTGTTGAATCTCATGAGTTTATGGATAAGAAGAAACATATTGCGATATTTACTACAGCAAGCCTTCCATGGCTAACTGGGACAGCTGTCAACCCTCTGTTTCGTGCAGCCTATCTTGCGAAAGATGGTGTAAGAAAAGTTACTCTGGTGATTCCTTGGTTGAAACTGACCGACCAAGAACACGTCTATCCGAATAAACTCACCTTCGATTCACCGTCGGAACAAGAAAAATATGTCCGACAGTGGCTTGAAGAGAGGACTGGATTTAAATCAAGTTTCGACATTCGTTTCTATCCAGGAAGAGTAAGTCAAGTCATAACTTTCAGAAAAAAGTTATTAATGTACATATCAAATATGTGGTCCACTAAAAATGGTTACTAATTAATGACTGAAGGGTCTATCATATAATAAATAGCTGATTTTCTGCAATTTTTATTTTATTTTATATTCACATCTTATTACCTCAACTGCAGTTTTCTCTGCACAAAAGGAGCATTCTTGCATTAGGGGATATTACGGAAGCCATTCCCGATGACGAGGCAGATGTTGCTGTCTTAGAGGAGCCGGAGCATCTCACGTGGTATCATCATGGAAAGAGGTGGAAAATAAAATTCCGACTGGTTATAGGAGTTGTTCACACAAATTATTTGGAATATGTGAGGAGAGAGAAGAACGGGCAACTCCAAGCTTTTTTGCTGAAATACGTAAACAGTTGGGTTGTCAACATATATTGTCACAGGGTACGACTTCTGATAACTGCTCCTTTTCTCAGTTACTGATCTTTTTATATCGTTTATATAGCATCCTTGGCTGTATGCTCAACGTTTTGTTTTACCGTTGCAGCCATGAGCCATATACCTCGTTTCTGATCCCGAAAATGTTGCATGAAAATACTATATTTAACATTTACTGATTTAGGGAATTAATTGATGTGGTATATAACAGCGGATGCACGTTTCAAAAAAAATGCTCGGATTATTTATAGTAGCTTGCTTCTAATTATTGGCAAATAAACAGCCGTATCACTAGCTTCTGACATGAACCCGTTTCATTACGGTAGGTGATAAGATTATCAGCTGCCACTCAAGAGCTTCCAAGATCCGTTATCTGCAATATCCATGGTGTGAATCCGAGATTCCTCAACATTGGCATGAAAAAGAGGGAGCAAGAACAAAACGGAAACCAGCCGTTTACTAAAGGTGCATACTATATCGGAAAGATGGTATGGAGCAAAGGCTACAAGGAGTTGCTTAAACTGCTGAAAGATAACCAGAAGGAACTAACTCAACTCGAAGTCGATTTATATGGCAGTGGCGAAGACTCTGATCAAGTTGAAGAAGCTGCTGAGAAACTGGATATAACAGTCAGAGTTCACCCGGGACGTGATCATGCAGATCCTTTATTTCACGAGTAAGTAGATTTCACTGTCTGAATATGCTGCTACTACAGACATTTTCAAGATTATAATCAGGGATTAATTTTAAATTTAGTTCTGGTACTGAAAGATTTTAGGTTTATCGATGTTCTTGATCTAACTGCTTCCCCTTTTTCTCTTCCATTCCAGCTATAAGGTGTTCTTAAACCCCAGCACAACCGATGTAGTATGCACAACCACGGCCGAAGCTCTTGCCATGGGCAAAATAGTCATTTGCGCGAATCACCCGTCGAACGATTTCTTCAAGCAGTTCCCAAATTGCCGAACGTACGACGACGATGAAGGTTTCGTAAATGAAACATGCCGGGCCCTACAGGACCAGCCTGCCCCACTGACAGACGATCAAATGCACGAGCTCTCTTGGGAGGCAGCAACAGAAAGATTCCTTAAATCCGCACATTTAGACGAGGTGAAGAAATTGACAAAAAAGCCCTCCAAGCTCTATATGTCCACTTCGTTCAATTTGAGTAGGAATCTTGATGATGCATCTGCGTTTATACATCATTGGGGAACTGGCTTTTTGACTAAGCAACCTGATGAAGAGCAATGTAAAGACGTGGGGTTTCCGGTTCCTTTGAAAAGACAATCGTACCCTTCGAGAAAATGGGCTTTCTGAAGTCGGTTGAAGATTGCGTTTTTTGCATGTTATTAGTGTGCTGTGTATTGGCTTTGCTGTAGTTTTACAGATCTCTTTTTTTTTTTTTTTTTTTTTTAATGATAGATTGATAAGATTGATTTTCTTGTGTATAACTTTCAAGTTCTTTTCTTTTGTTTCTCTTTGTATTCTTTTTCTTTTATTAATCCTCACATTTGTAACATTTCAACATTACAGTTTCTAGCTACCAGTCAATTGTGCAGGTAATTATTTGTGCTATATAATTACATACAGTCTTTTCTTTTATTTTCCTTAGGCCTCGTTTGGTCGAGGAGATTAGCCATTATAATTAAATAATTTGACTTTGTTTGATATTTTGGTATCCCAAATTACTTACCGGGTCGACCCGCAATTTTTATGTTATCATGACTTATCTTGCCTTTCAGTGAGCCTTTTTGTTGGACGTCTCGATTTTCATTAGATTATTTAATCTTATCTTGACAACCAAACGAGGCATAAACATATAAATTAGTAGTGATTAAATTAAGTTACTGGCCTTGATTTACTATATAGTTAAAGCCATTGGGCTAGAATAACTTCAATTTGCAGTATTGCCAAAGATTAAATAAAAAGTATACACAAAAAAAAAGCTTGAATAATAGAAAATCCAGAAAAATATGGAAAAAAAATTAAATACCAAGAATCTGATTCACAATTGCCACAAAAATAAATAACTAATAAATAAATAAAATAATTAGCAAGTTCTCATCTTTCATCTATGCCTGATATCATGCATACTTATCTCGTGTCGAAAAATCTTCCTCCAAAGTTCGTTTCTTTATTATGGACGGCATATTACCGTAACTCATAGCTGCACTCTTCAACATAGACATGAGCTCACTCAATAGATCAGTCGACAGTTTTGCCGTATTGCTTCTAGAAGGTTCTAGAGATATCGATCTATTTTGCCTACGAGTATATCTGTCGGTGCTCGGAAATCTACCGGTTGACGAGAATATATTTAAATCTCCATTGTCGAATGGCTCGTACCATAAGCCAGTGTACGAAAATTCCGATGAACTATATTCCATTCCGAGGTTATTATAACTTATATCATCACAGTAGCTCAAATCTCGAGTCGAATACAGATAAGGTTGCGCATACCTGGAATAACATTCATCAAGTACTGAAGTATGATCCACGAATCGCGATTTTCCGTGATTTCGGTTTGCCTCCGGAAAATTTCTGCCCGTTTCTGCTTTGTTGCCGTTCAAATCGAGTTTCCTCTTCAGTGAGCCGTTCCAATGATTTTTAACAGAGTTTTCAGTCCTATATCATATCAAGAAAACATTAAAAAAATGAATAAATTCCGCAATATAATTTCAAAATCACGAGAAAAAATTACCTGCCAGGTAAAAACTTGGAAATTTCCGACCATTTGTTACCGTATTGAGCATGAACACCGATAAGAATCGTTTCCTCTTCTTTTGTCCAAGCGGCCTTGTTTATTTCCGGATTTAAATGGTTGAACCATCTAATTCAATAATAAAAAAAATTGTCGTTAAATAATGCACATGAAATAAACTTTAAAGTATAGACATAATTATATAATCTATTTCGGCCGGATTAATTAATTACCTTTCTCTGCATTGCTTTCCGATTCGACCTGGAAGATGCTTTTCGATTTCACGCCACTTCTTACCGAGCTTTCCAACCAACTCAACTAGAAGATCATCTTCCTACAGATATTTATCGAACAAGAATTAATTATCATGCCCACATTTTTTTCTCGAATATATATATTTTTCCTAAAAAACATATGTATATGCAAGATTATGACCTCTTTGCTCCAGGGTCCTTTAACTAGGTCAGGTTTTATAACTTTACCCCAACGATGCAAGCACTGAGTATCCGTTCGACCGGGGAGATGTTCAGCTGCATATTTAAATTATATAACTTACAAAATAAAACTCATTTAAGTATGAAGCAGAGTAAATTTTTAATTGTATCAAATTAAATAGATTAATATTGTTCGATTCTTGGCCACTCGTTAAAAAGTTATTGTAACTTAAAAAAAGAACTTGCCGATTTTTTTCCAGCTCTTCCCTCCGAATTTTTCAACCGCATTCCCCAAAATGTCATCCTGTTAACTCATAGGAAGCAATACAACATCACAATGTTGGAAATATTTTTTCCCATCTTTCGAGAATACAAACGAATATTATTCACTTAATCATAATTTTAATTTCTACTAATCAAACTAATTATGTATCTTTTCTTGAATTGAATCAATTCATTTCAGACAAATAAAAATATTAAGACAAATTTGCTGACCTCTTCCTCAGTCCAATTTGCCTTGGATGATCTTCTTGCTCTACCACTCCATCTTTTAACTGTACTACTGTATTATCCATCAAATTTGTCACAAAAAAAAACACCATAAATTAATAATTTATACATCAAATTATTTTCTGGCTACAGTAGAACCTCGATATATGAACAACCTCGTCTAAATAATAATTTCTTACTGTCCGGACTTGGTAAAAACGTACTAAATTATTAGCTCGATAATTTAATAATTTCTTACTGTCCGGGCTGTATTACTTTATAGAGGTTTACCTGTATATAAAAAAAATAAAGTATTCTGAAAAATATAAATACCTATTAATAATAATCTCTTCTTTATCAGCATCTTCACTGATAATTTCTTCCATATAAATTCAAACACTGTGTCACCCTTCTGAGTAGAAACTCAGACAAGAAACGCAAGAATTCATCGTACGGCACATAATTGAAGAGAAAAATTAATTACAACAAAAACCCAAGCAGAAAAATTTGAACTTTTTAGTACCCAACGGTCATATTAATTAGAACAAGCATATATGCAAGAAATCTTGGGAAAAAAAAATTAATTAAGGAAATATTAGCATATAAAAAAAGGGATGTATGTATAGAAAGGGGCCAACGGCTAGAAGAAGAGGGGTTAAGCAGAAAGAAATACTCCGGTGAAGGAAACAGAATATATACAGAAAGGAAATTTCATTTTTTTTCTAGTAGATCTAATTTAATTTACACAAAAATAAATTTTTGTTCTAAAGTAAAAATAGCAGTAGAGAAGGTTTTTTTTTTTTTTTTTTCTTCTCAGTTTTGTTGAATTTATGGGAAGGAAGGATCTAGGATGGAATGAAGATATATTTTGCAGGTTAGAGAGAGAAAGACGCGGGGAGAAGGTTGATGAGAGATGTAGTTTCGCGGGAGAATTGAGAGTTTGCCGGGTATATATGTATACTCGTTGCATACGTATCTTAGTCTTATATACAATTGTTTTTTTAATTTTATTTGAACTTATTTAATGATTTGATTTTGATTTGTTTTTATAAGAATTTTTTGTTTTGGAAACTCTTATTTGAACTCAATTTAACAAATAAAATAGAGTTTAATTATCTTATGTGAAGTTGTATCACAGATTTGTTTAGTGAACACTAATCAATACTAATGAAGTATATGGATTCATGAAGTTGAAAATTTTATTGAAAATACATTGAATTTTGTATTACTTAAAAAAAACAAAAATACAAGTAAAAAGTGTTGAATATATCCATAAATAAAGCACTAATTTTAAGGTTGACGGGTGACTTTTAAGTCAATTTATTTCTACGTTTTATTTGATGTCACATCCGATTAAAAATATTATTAAATTATTAATCGTTGATCTGGACATAGTCACAAACAACTACGAGTGATTAATGGCCGGTTATTTATCAATCTGCTACACCGGGTGAAATACATCGGGTTGATCTTTAGTCTTTAATATTCATATGCACACAAACACACACACATTCACATTGGTGCGTATAAATCAACGGTAAAAATTCACCCAATATAATCTTCATCGGGTATAACATAAAAATAAATAACCCAAAAATCAAGAAAATTACATGAACGACCACATGTCAAATTCAAATTATGAAGAAAATTAAATTCCCATCATATTAAAAAAAAGGGTAAATTACAAACACCCCCTGAGGTATGGTCAAATTACAAAAACACCCCTCTTGTTTGGATAATTACAACCACCCTCTCAACTCCTCAAATTTAGTGAAATCTTCGAGATTATATGGAATATTATCACTTTTGTACCCATTTTATCTCATTCAAACTCTACATTACGAAGCAAGATGATCATAATATGTGATTTTTAGCTTGTATATATCAGTTTTTGGTGCATCAGAAACTGTATTTTTACACAAAACGAGTACAAACTAGAGCAAATTTCACGGAATCTAGATGATTATGTTGAATTTGGCACCATAAGGGTGGAGGTGTAAGAAAAAATCATAGTTGAGGGGGGTAGATGTAATTATCCAAACAAGAGGGGTTTTTTTGTAATTTGACCATACCTCAGGGGATATTTGTAATTTACCCTATAAACAATTTAACAGAAATACCTCTCTTCTTTCTTCTCACCTTCCTTAAACTTACGTGTTATATTCTGTATCTACTTCTAGGCAAACCTAAATTCTCCCTCATATATATATATATATATATATATATATATATATATATATATATAACACATCGATACACAAACAAACACGGAAACATAAAAACCATGATTATCGAGGTTACTGTAATCTCCGGCGAGGGTTTGCTCGTGAGGAAGAAGCAACCCGTGAAGAGAAACGCTTTCGTGGTGGTGAGATCCGACCCGTTTAATCATCAGTCAACGGGTACGGATACGTACGGCGGCAGCTACCCTGCATGGAACGAGAAGCTGGTGTTGGATCTTCCCGCTCGCGCCCGTTACATAACAGTGGAAGCACATTCCGGCAGCAGGCTCATCGGAATATCCAATATTCCGGTGTCGGATTTCGCCGGCGGGTTTCTGCCGGAGAACTACTTGAGTTTCTTGAGTTACAGGCTGAGGGATGCTAACGGCGAGAAGAACGGGATTATAAATATCTCCGTGAAGGTGAAGGGGGCCGCCGGAAAAGTGCAGCCGGCCGGAGAGAGGGTCGCCGGCGGTAGGGTTTTTGAACACGGGATTGTTACCGGCGTTCCGGTTTCCTATAGACATGAGAACGGAACTTGCGTTTAATTCGGTTTAATTTACAAAGTTCATGTACGTAATTAATTGTTCAAATTAAATACGAAATCATCTTTTATTATTGAAAACTAGCATTTTTTCGCACGGGATATTATTTCAAGAGTAAAAAAAAAATCAATTTAATACATAATTAATAAGAAAATATAGTACACGCACGTAGTAAAATTTAATAATGTAGTATTATTCATATTTTATATAACATTAGTTTGTTTAAATTTTACGTATTAAGATTTATAATCCAAATATATAGATTTAGATTTATCAAATTGAATTTATATCTTTATCTCTTAAGATTTGAGATATATTGATGAAAAATAGGAGATTATAATTGTTGAAATTTAGTAGAGAAAAAATATTAAAAATAAATAATTAGAGAAATACCATTAGGGTTTTTTAGGGTTGCCGAGCGTTTCTTTCTTTTATGTATAAGATTTATATTATCATTCAATTATATTTAATATATTATATTATTATTAATCTTTGTTTAAAAGATTAATTAGTCGAAAAGAGTAGCTCGAGTTTGCAGGGCACTTAGTTAGTGCTTGTTGTTATTTTCTATTTAAATTGTAATTAGTGACTTTAATTGAATAATAATATATGAGCTTGTTCGTTTAATATATAATATATGACGAAGATTATATGTAATACAATACAACAAAGGATGAAATTTAATTTACATTAAAAAATTATATTGTAATTATTATTGTTACTTAATAGTGGCGCGTATAATATATACATACATACGAACTCGTTAAGTGATCGATTAGGGTTAAACTCCTCAAGGACGATCAAACTACCCTAAATTAGAAGAAATGCTAGAGTAACATGTATATATATGAAAAATAAAATTGTCCAAAATCATAGTAGTTGTTTTTAGGTTAAATTACAACCGCACATGAGATAACGTTTATTTACGATAAAACCACTCTTTTTTTTCATAATTACACTCACCCCTCGTAATTTGTAGATTTATTACATTAACATTCTTTTGTAGGAGGTAAATGTAAGAAATTTACAAACTGCAAAGGCTAAGTGTAATTTCATAAAAATAAAGATTTTTTTTTTTACATAAATATTGCACTTTATCTCAGGGAGTCCCTGGTTGTAATTTAATTTACCCTAATTTTTATTAATATGACTAGGTTATTTCTTTCTATCCATATTAATCAGTGTCACAAAATCCACAGGCAAACACAGAAACCATAGAGAAATATCTCATCATATTTCGTTTTTGTATGTCTATGCATTTTATTGTATGTATATATTATGTCATGCATGCAGGGGAGGAGATTTGTGGTTAAATTGCTCGCGCAAGCATGCTGACGATTTAATAATGACGTAAGCTAATTAATTAATTAATTAATTATTATTATATATTTTCCTTCAAGACTCAATGCATGAACCTTCGTTCCCAAACCTAATTCATTTCCAGACAAGTTTGTCTGGGAATTATGTGTACAGATTTATTTATTTCAATTTCAGGTGTTGGAAAGTGACTTCTAGCGAAACAACGGCATTCGAAAACAAAGTAAAACGAAAACAAAATAAAACGAATGGACATGGATCGGTTTTAACCACCAACCAACCTATTTTCGACCCATAATTTGTGATGGATAATCAATCATCAACCGACCGATTTAAGTTGGGTCTATAATGTCAACCAACCCACGGTATAGTTGGGTCGATAATGGTTTCTAATATGCTAAAAAGTTGGTTAGTTGGGTAATATCGGCCAACGAACTTTATTTATTAATTTATTATTTATTAATTTTAATTAAAATGTTTAATATTTTTAATTTCAAATTTCTATTTTATATCACATTTATTAAATTATCTAATATTGACCTAAATCCTAAAAGCAATAAATCTAACCTAATTATCTAATTTGAACTATTTTAATTTTAAGACATATAGCCTAAATATTGGAACGATTATTATTTGTTGAACTATTTATGTTAAATTGCAACATATATGCCCGTAATGTTTTGAATCTTTTATTTGAATATTATTGAACTAGTCACATTTAATTTATAAAAGATATAGCGTTGTAACAACTAATAAAATATTAAAAAAAATTAAAAAAAATATTTAGATGGATGACCCACCAATCAAACCACCAACCGACCCATTAAATTGGTTTTCAACCATCACCCAACCCATATAAATTTGGTCGATAACGATTTCCAATATTTACCAAAGTTAGTTGGATGGATTGAGTTGGTTTTATGGCTGGTTTTTAACCAAACCACCCAACGCACAACTCTATTAATATAATATAGATATATGTGGGTGGATTTTTAGGAAAAGTTAGGCATTAATATTTGTCAAAATAAGTGTATATATATTTGTTGTTATTCCAGTTGACCAAGTCCAACTAAAGTCACAGTTCGTCTCTTGTAATAATCAATCTAAGTTATTTTCCATATATAATTAATATATTATTGGCCATTAATGTTTCTCAAAAATTTACAGTAATTAGAGAATGTCGAGATTATTCGATGCCACCTGTTCAAAATAATTTAGTCTTTTGAATTGACCTTCTAATCCAACTTAAATAAAAAAGATTGAATGTCAGTTGAACGAGCTATGTGTGATTGAACAAACACTGCTCAACTCATATAAAATTATAGTTTAGATACGGAAAAAACGCAAGACATCAAAATTGTAACCCTTTAACCTGAATTTCTAACCTAACTTAAATTTATTAAATTGAAGATCGAACGATAGAGTTATGCATAATTTAATAAACATTGTCGCACCCCTTTAATTCTGAGTGCGGGGTGGAGGGAATCCCCGATGTGGCCTTATTTTATAATATATGATCATAATTAGTGATATTTATTATTTTTATTTTTAAGTGGGAATAATAGACTAAAAGTTTAAAATATAAAAGTAAAAATAAAAACCTAATTAAAAAAATCAAAAAATAAAAGTTATGGGGGGCGGCTGCCCCCTTTGGATGGGCCTTGCTCTTATAATCACGTTTTCCCCGAGGAAACTTTTTTTTCTTTTTTTCTAAAATAGATTTATAAATTTATATTCAAAATTAATTATAACGGAAATTAATTACAAATAAATTAAGAGAGAGGAAAGACCGTTTCCACCCTTCTTCCTTATGCCACGTCAGCAAATAAAATTCTCCAAACCGCCGTGAAGTTAATACCACAGAAACACCCCACCACTTTCCGTCTCTTTTCTCCCCCATCTTCCTCCCACGCGCCCCACGTTATATATATACATATATTCTTCACACACACAAACACACGCAGTTATACATACATAGATACATACACAGAAAGAAAAAAAGTAGTTATGGAAAAGGCCGCTGCTTCAAAGGCGATGGAGATAACTGTAATTTCCGCCGAGGGTTTGCTCGTAAACAGGAAGCAAACCGTCAGGAAAAACGTATCCGTCACCGTTAAAACCGACCCGTTAAATTCCAGATCCACGGGTCGGGTCGACCCGGAGGGCGGGAGTTCGCCCGCCTGGAAGGAGAAGCTAGTGATGGATCTGCCCGTGCATGCGCGTTTCATCACCGTGGAAGTGCATTCCGGCAGCAGGATCGTCGGAGCCGCGAATATTCCGGTGACGGATTTCTCCGGCGGGTACCTGCCGGAGAACCATCTGAGCTTCCTGAGTTACAGGCTGAGGGACGGTAATGGAGATAGGAACGGGATTGTAAATCTGTCTGTGAAGGTGAGGGGAGCCGGGAATACAGGCTGCGCCGCCAGCTGCTCGCGGCCGTGGATTGGAGTTCCGGGACTTCCGGCGGTGGGTGAAAAGGCGCCCGCTGGGATAGTTACGGGTATTCCAGTTCCGTATAAATACTGAGTTGTTCCTCTGCAAAAAAAAAAATACTGAGTCATTGTTACCGAGTCATGGAATTCTTTTATTTTTTTTTATTGGTTTTAATTTCTTTTATTTTTTTAGAGACGAAATTGTAATTAAATAGGTTGAACATATTGCATATTGATTTTTTTTTTTTTTATTGGCGTAAAAGAATTTGAATGTTTGATTTACGGTTAGGTCATGATTCAAATCCGGCTCCTTTTCTCCTATTTTCATGTAGTCAAATTTGACTCAAATTCGAATTATCTTGCTAATAGCAGTTGAAGTTTGTCGATAGCCGTTGGAGTTTGTCGTCACACATGATTAGCCTAATTTGGTTTACGTTTTTCATATGGTTTGCAAGCTATTATTAAATAGTGTAGGTTTACCCGTTGGAGTTTGTGGTCACGCATGATTAGCCTAATTTGGTTTACGTTTTTTATATGGTTTGCAAACTATAATTAGATAGTGTAGGTTTACCGAGTGCACTTCTTTTACTGTCTAGTAAGGGATGACCTAGCGATTAGAGCAAACGAATCTGTTTCAATTACATTATCAGGTTCGAATTCCCTTGCCAACGGTAGCTATATAGAACTTCTCAGACATGGTTAACCTATTATACGAGTGTAGGTCTCAACATATTGTCTTTTTTTGATCTTTTTTTCTTTTATGTATTGTTTTAACCATATACCTCCTTCGGCGAATCGTGACACCAACAGACCGGAGAAGCACACTACGAGTTAGGAGAATTGTCGTTAGGTTAAATAAATTAAGAAAAAATAAAATAGACCACAAAATAAATATAATATGGTGAATAAAATACAATTGAATCCATCTCAAAATGGATGGAGGATATAGTCTATGATAAAATGCATATAAAACGGTTTATCAAATTTTCCCTTTAATTTATTAATAAAATATTTAGCTCCCCGAATCCGTCGTATCATTATAACCAAAATAAGAGAAATGAAAAGTAATATCCCTCACTTGTCCAAGTGGTAGGCAGTTGTCTACTTAAATTCCCAGTCCTGGGTTCGAGTACAAGCTGAGGCTTTGACATATATGGCTATGATGAAATCCATATTCGCTCGATGGTCGCTCCATCGTAAACTTCTGATGAATTAATTCACAAGAAGATTTCTGTGCTGTGGTACTGAGCTATATTTCTTTTATATCCCTATTTTTGTCTATTGATGATTTTTTGTTCTTTTACGACTACTGTTTCTAGGTACACGACAACGATTTTTTTCTCCAACTAGAAATCAAGATTTTGTAGTTACGAAAGCTTAAAAAACCGGATATTAATGTCACAAAAAATATAGCACCGGACCGTATTTTCATTAGCAGCACCTGCACAATATCATCACAACACAAGATAGTATTACATATACACCCTAACACTAACGAAATTTGCAATGTTTTTAAATCGGGTTTCAAAGTTCGAACTCCAATTTTTTTTTTTCAATTTTAACGTGGCACAAAAACGAGAGGGTTTCTAGAATAACCAAAGTAAAAACATACTAATACAATCAACACATGGAAAATGACAAAGGGCTGCAAATAGGCACACGAACGAGCCAGCTGTCACATTGTACCTCAACGCAGGACAAAGAAGCTCTACAATAGGCACTCGTCTGATTGTTAGTTGCGTTTTTTTCTCAGTTATACTTCTTCGCTATCGTTTTGGTTGCCATTTTTCAGTATATTGAACTTGCAAAGGGGACAGGTGGCATTTATGTGCAACCACTTGTCTATGCAAGGCAAGTGAAAATGGTGGCGGCAGGGTAGTTCTCGAAGTTCGGCTCCATCTTCATAGGCACAAAGGCAAATGCAACATTCCTTCAATAAAAAAGAAAAGAAATATTTACGTGTCAATTTAAAGATCTGTGACCAATTAAAAGTTGTAAATTCTTGTATGCATTTAGAGTGTAAATGGACATACAGCATCTTCGAGGGGAAGAACATGCTCTGTGGGGGAATCAGTGTCGCATTCAGTGATTATTCCGCCAAACGATTCTTGAATTTCACCGCTTTGCTTTTCAAAGTCGCCAATTTTCCGGAATTTGTATCTAGGTAGTCTGTCTATATCTTCCTTAGTAGCTCCTTCCTGTAACATAATTTCAATCAGTAAATAAAAATAAAAGACGGTACTCAAACATCAGATAAAGATAGCACAAAGTTCTCTTTTGTTCTCTTCGTCGGTTAGAGCTATACAACTCCTACTATTGAAGGCAAGAAGTAGCACTTTAGCAGATTCCTCACGACAATCATACAAGATACATCCAAGCAAGAAAAATGAAGGAACCATAGAGCAACTTCATGAACTTAAGATTGCATTTGCATTTGGAGAGAGAATATGGGGGGGTATTTCAAACGACTAAGATAGTGTGAAGTTCATATCCACCACAACAAGCCTTTGAAATTCATTAAAACAAGCTCATTAAATTTATTATTACGTATGAAAATTCTTAAATATAAATCTCTCGATCAAAATAGAACCCAAGTTTTATTGAGTTCCATAGTCATTTATCAGATAAACTTTTCACTACTCAATTGTTTATTCAATATATTCACTCAACAATGAAGCGAGGTTCGAACGTAAAAGTTCAAATAAGCAAGAAAACCAGGGGTGTGAATTATGGAAGATAGAACTTAAGTGAACTGCCAAGGGCATGCTGAACCTTTTGGATCTTTTTCTGCAATCCCCTTTTTCTTACGGAGCATTTTTCGTTACACTAAGGTCAATACTTTAATAGAAAAATTAGCAAGCACCAGATATTCATGGTATGAACCTAATATTCAATGACATAAATTACCTGATCCGCAACTGCATATAAGATTGCAATAATACATGGTAGACAGCAGCAAACAGCAATTCCAATGACACATGCCACAGCAACACAAATGACAACGAAGAACACATCGAATGCCAAAAATGTAATACAAAGCCTGCAAAGGATATTCATAAATTGACAATTAGTAAACAAACATTGCATCACAACTTTAGCAGCATCAGTAGACATCATTTGGACAAACCAATAAAGCTGAGGTGCTTCGCTTGTCAAATATTGGCCACCGGCAGATACCCAATAGAACCCAATTATCCACCAAATGAACGAGAACATGGTATTCGCAGACTCCAGATGCTTAGTAACGCTGCAAAAATGAATAGATAAATATCATCATTACAGTTTTCTTTGCATCTGAACAATAAATACATAATGTCATTTCCTACTATATGCTTGTTTCTTACTACTTAGCGACAACAGAGAGTCTTTTCCCGAACAATAGAGACCATTAATAAGGCTCACAAAAACCATCAATGGAGCATCTTAATAACTCTTTGAATAACATATCATATTTTTTTATACTGAGTGGATGCAACCAGACTCTAGAAATATAGAAGTTGTTCTTCGTTTAATCATAAGCGGAGATTCCTAGGTACCAACTACATATGCTATTCCTAGCATTGTAAGCAGACTCAATGACATTTATCAAAGATGGCCACGTTACACCAAATCATACAATTTGCAGATCTGCTTACAGAATTGATTCTACCGCATCTATAATCAAACTGATAGACAAATAAACTCATTTCCATTTCCAAGAACCTCGATCATTGATGAGTTCACAATGACCAATGTAATTCGTTCAGGTTGGAGTTAAGGATTAAGTTTGGGAATAAAACATGAAAATAATGTTTCTAGTTTTCGTAATAAACGGAGGCAATACTTGTTTAGAATGAAAATAAAAGAAAAGGAAATCCACTTTCATCGGTTTCACATTACTAAGTACTGCATTCAAGCAAATGATTAACGCTCCATTGATTCTTAATTAAGTTACGTGGTTCAACTTTCAGTCATTTGCAAACCCTTTCAAAGTGCAATTTCGTGTTAATTTATTAGCTTCATGCTAAGATACTTACATAAGCAACAGAAGTAAAATTATATGCACAATCATTCTACAAAGAAACATAACGCCAAACTAAACATGATATTCAATATAATTTCAGGAATAAAAAATAATCCGTCAAAAAAAAAAAAAAAAAATTATAAATACCTAGTTTCATCATCACTCGGCGGGCGCTCGGAATCATAATTTCCAGACTCCATTCCATCACTTCCGGAGCTTGAATTAGAGTAATTACGGCTATACCTAGGCTGCCCCCTTTCACTCCCTTCCGAATTCCGCTGCGAATATCGTTTCCTATACTCAACGCAAACGCACGCCATGTGAAGAACGCACTGCACGGCATATCCAACAATCCACAACCTCAGCGGCATCGAAGGCTTCTCTAGGCGGCTCATGATCATCACAGAAATCGAGACGGCGATAAAGGCGAGGTTCCAAACGAGGTCCAGGATCACTATCGGCTTGGAATAAGCCCAATCGCTCTGCCGTTCTTCAATTTGCTCGGCGGCAGTTTCGCGGACGCGGACGGAAGGGTCGCGCATCGCACGGCCGCGGCTGCTGGCCCGCCGGAGGAAGCGAGCGGCGCCGCGGAGGCTAGGCGTCCGTCGGAGAAATTGGGGACTGGAGCGTAAGATCTGGTCGCTGAGTAACGGCGTGGAGTCGACGGCGGCCGTGGGCGACGGCGTGTCGCTGTTTGACGGCATCGTATTGTGGCGGAGGAGATTTTTCCAGTTTCTTAATTTTTTGATTTTGTGAAGTAATGATTTGGAATTTTGTATTTATTGTTTCTCTCCGTCTTGGAGAGTAAGGAAAGATCGAACGGTCGATATTTGACCATGCGCGACTGTGTGTGTGTGAGAGAGAAATTTGGATCAGAATTAAAATAATATATTTAATGTTTTCGAAATAATATTAATATTATTATTTAGTTTATATAAATTATGTAGTTTATACTTTATATAATAGGTGAATGAAAAAAGTTAATTATAATAATTTATATAAAGACTTTTAGGAAAAAATACAGTTTTCATCCCTCAAGTGTGCTTAAATTTCACATTTTGTGCCCATATTCACAAAAATATACATTTGGTCCCTCATGTTTCAAACATTTAACACTTTTAGTTCATTCTATCAATTTTTTCGTTAAAACTAACGGAATTGAACGTGTTCCCATCACTACCGTAGCTGATGGATTAACAAAAAATTGACAAAAATGATCAAAAGTGTCAAATTGTTGAAACATAAGGGATCAAATGTGTTTTTTGTGAACATGGGGATCAAATGTCAAATTATTGCAAACTTGAGGGATGTAAACTGTATTTTTTTCCAAGATTTTTACTTAAATCGTCCAAGTGTATTCATTTCAAATACATTTTAGGGTAAATTCCACTTTACCCCCTCGTACTCTGCCTGAGAGTCACTTTACCCCCTCGTACTCTCAATTTCATCAATTTACCCCCTTGTACTTGTACAATTTCCCAATACAGCCCTTTCCTTCAACTTTTGTCAATTTTGACTATGACGTAAATTATAAAATTGCCACTGCCTATAACGCGTCGTTTCTCCTCCGTCAATATTGTCATTTCTTCTTCTCTCACCACTTCCCCTTCTAAGATATCCCCAAATTAAACCCCTAACTTAGTAAAAATCAAGACCAAAAAATTGATCGATTCCACCTAGTGCAAAGAAAAAAATATATGAATGTGTGAAACTTTCTCTTTTCTAATCTCGAGAGTCAAAATCGAAAAAATTCAATATTTACGTCAATATTTTGACTCTTGACCAAAGGGCGTCAGAGTCGAAATCGGAAAAGTTGACGAAGAGGGTTGTATTAGGAAATTGTACAAGTACAAGGGGGTAAATCGACGAAATTAAGAGTACGAGGGGGTAAATCGACGAAATTAAGAGTACGAGGGGGTAAAGTGGTTATTGGGCAGAGTACGAGGGGGTAAAGTGTAATTTACCCTACATTTTATCAGGAAAAATTACAGTTTTCGTCCCTTAAGTTTGCACTCGATTCCACATTTGACCCTCCATGCTCAGAAAACACATTTGGTCTATCATGTTTCAATACTAACATTTTTGGTTATTTTTTTCGACAATTTTTCGTTAATCCGTCAGTTAAGAGAGTTATAGAAACATGCTCGATTCCGTTAATACTAACGAAAAATTAACGGAAATGACAAAAAATGTTAAATTGTTGAAATATGAGGGACTAAAGTCATATTATGGAAACATGAGGGGTCAAATATGAAATTGTGGTAAATTGGAGGGCAGAAAATATATTTTTCCCCATTTTATTCCAATTCAATTATTCAATTTGTATCCAGTATCTAGAAAATATATTACCAGAGGAAGGCTACAAAAGCAGGTAAATTGGTTATGTACAAATTTGTATCCCAACGTGCATATACGAGCTTGAGGACCAACACCACCAGAAATGCTCTACTGATCGACGCAAATCAACATTTGAGCCATCTCTCAAAACTGGGCCAAATTGATGAAGCACGGAAACTGTTCGACGAAATGCCTGAGCGGGATGAGTTTACATGGAACACGATAATAGCTGCGTACGCAAATGCAGGAAAACCTGCAGAAGCTCGGCAACTGTTTGAAAAAACTCCCAAGAGAACCGCAATCACTTGGTCATCCCTTGTTTCCGGGTACTGCAAGATTGGCTGCGAAGTCGAAAGCTTCCAGTTGTTTTACGAAATGCAGTACGAGGGTTACAGACCTAGTCAGTTCACATTAGGAAGCGTACTCAGGCTTTGTTCGATAAAGGGTCTTCTCTCAAGAGCCGAACAAATTCACGGCTTCGCTGTAAAGACTCATTTCGACACTGATGTTTTTGTAGTCACGGGTCTTATCGATGTGTATGCAAAATGTTCGCGCATTATTGAAGCTGAATCTCTCTTCGATAAAATATCCGATGGGAAAAACCATGTCACTTGGACTGCAATGATTAACGGGTATTCGTTAAACGGCGATTTTGTGAGAGCAATTCAGTGCTTTAAGGGAATGAGGGAAAACGGGAGCGAGGCTAATCAGTACACTTTTCCAGGTGTATTGTCCGCTTGTACGGCTCTTTCAAATCTTGGATTCGGAGCGCAAGTGCATGGTTGTATTGTTAATGGTGGTTTTAGTGCTAACGTTTTCGTTCAAAGTTCATTGGTCGATATGTACACAAAGTGCGGTGATTTGAGTAGTGCTTGGAGAGTAATTGAGTCAATGGAGGTCAATGATGTCATTTCTTGGAACGCAATGATTGTTGGTTGTGTGAGACAAGGTTTTTCCGACAAAGCATTATCTCTATTTCGAGAAATGCACTCGAAAGATATGAAACTCGATGAATTTACGTACCCCTCTGTCTTAAACGCACTAGCTTCGAAAAATGATGCCAAAAACGGTTATAGTCTCCACTCGTTGGTCATTAAATCCGGATTCGGAAGCTATACACTTGTGAGCAACGCTCTTATTGATATGTACGCGAAACAGAACAACTTAGACTCCGCGTATAAACTGTTCGATTTCTTAGTGGAGAAGGATTTAATCTCGTGGACATCTCTCATCACTGGCTATGCTCATAACGGGTCCCACGAAGAAGCTCTTAAGCTTTTTTGTGAAATGAGGGTAAACGGTACCCACCCGGATCAGGTAGTTGCCTCCAGTGTTTTGAGTTCTTGTGCTGAGCTGGCTTGTCTAGATTTAGGACAACAAATTCACGGAATTGCCATTAAGTCCGGACATGATTCGTCTTTATCTGTTGATAACTCTCTCCTCTCGTTATACGCACATTGTGGTTACTTAGAATACGCAGATAGAGTATTCAACTTTATGAAAGTACGAAACGTGATTTCTTGGACAGCTTTAATTATCGGGTATGCCCAAAATGGCAAAGGCGTAAATTCCCTTCAATTATACGACCAAATGATAGCTTCCGGAGTAAAACCAGACTACGTAACTTTCATCGGATTGCTATTCGCTTGCAGCCATGCAGGACTCACCGAGCAAGGCCAGTCCTTCTTCGAGTCCATGTCAACAAATTACGGAATTACCCCTGGCCCAGATCATTATGCATGCATGGTCGATCTATTAGGCCGGTCGGGTAAATTTCAAGAAGCAGAGGATTTGCTAGGTAAAATGCCTGTGGTCCCCGATGCAACTGTGTGGAAATCACTTCTTGCTGCGTGTAGACTACACGGGAATGTTGAGCTGGCAAAACGAGCATCTACAGCATTGATTGAATTGGATCCACAAGATTCCGTTTCATACGTAATGCTATCGAATACGTATTCTGCAGTTGGGAAATGGAAAGAAGCTGCCCATGTGAGACGAAAAATGAAATCGAAGGGTGTGAGGAAAGAACCGGGGTGTAGCTGGATGGAGGTGAATGGCAGAGTGCATGTGTTCATGTCTGAAGATAGGGGACATCCTAGTACGAACGAAATTTTCTTGAAAATCGAGGAAATTATTACGAGGATTAAAGAAGTGGGGTACGTTCCGGATGTGAGTTTTGCTCTGCATGATATTAATGAAGAGGGTAAGGTGGATGGGCTTTCTTATCACAGTGAGAAGTTGGCTGTGGCTTTCGGGTTGATTTGTTTGCCTTTGGGTCGGCCGATTAGGGTTTATAAGAATATTCGTGTTTGTGGCGATTGTCATACTGCGATGAAGTTTGTGTCGGCGGTTTACGGGAGGCGTATTGTTTTGAGGGATTCGAATTGTTTTCATCATTTTAGGGATGGGGTTTGTTCTTGCTTGGATTATTGGTAGCCGGTAGGTGAATTTCGGATTTTTATTCGGAATTTTCAGATTTTTTTTCGGAAGTACAAAATGACATAAGCAAAGGCAGCATAGGAAAAATTAAATGTTGTAGCTCTTACAACAAATGAAATCGTAGTTTATGTACGAATCTCTCTTACCCATGAATGTATGTTCGTTAATTGATGTAACGAAATTCATCAACAAACAAAGATCCGACACGGTAGGAAAAATTACAAGAAGTAACCTTTATAAGAAAACTCGATTTCTACGGTGAACAAAAGAAACATACAAAAAATAAGTACCTAGAGTTATATATCTAACTTGTTCCAGTTTGTAAGCTTCCATTTGGCCCTATGGACACTTGCAAACTGGAATAACATATATATATAGAGAGAGAGAGATGATATATATCTAAAATCTATATCTATCTGCAGAGGCATCATATACAACAACAATTTAGTTGAAGCTACAATTTGCCATTGGAATCACAATTCCCTCGGTATCTTAATCAAGAGCCGCCACAACCTTCTAGAAGATTCACTTTTTGGAATGTTCCGGAATGAGCCGTTTAAGCAGTTCGGAAGGTGCACCAGCCAATTCTGGAAGAAGAATAATAAACAGTTGACTTCTTAAACGAAGAACTATCGAGACAAAAGATTATAATAACTTTGACGCAATATTTTTTTATTTTTATTTTACCTTCGGCTGCGAAGTTGAAAAGAGGAGGCAATTGTCGACCGTTTGGCAAGCATGCATTCGGTTCTCTCAAGTCATCGAAAAATGGGTGTGCACATGCCTCCAACTGAAAAAATAATTTATAAAAAAAAAAAAAAAAGGAAAATTAGCTGAGAAATTCGGACAGTTCAAAATCAAGAAAACATCAAAATATGAAAACAAAGACTTACTGCAGTGAATCGTAAAGTAGGTGAATATTGGAGAAGCCTCGAAACGAGATCCACTGCTTCTGGTGGCATTCTCTTGTGAAATACCTGGAAAGTAAAACTTCACTTAGATCTTCTCTCTCATCGTTTTTTTTTTATTATTTTTTTTATTATTATTTCTTGATTTCTCAACGAACCTTGTGCCACGGGTGGGCTTTAATCTGCGGAAACTTAAATTCACTATAATTTGGATTCATGCACTTGATTTCCTCTCTAGTTGGCGTCCCCAAAACCTTAATAAGCAATTAAAATAAAATAAAATGATCAATTAGAGACTATATAGAGAAGAAGAAAAAACCCAAGAGTTATTGTTATAAAACACACCTTAATTATTTCGACTAGCTGATCGACACTACTTTCGCCCGGAAATAAAGGCTGCATGTTTGCATAATATGTTAGTATTATGAAACCTAGATGAATGTAATAGAATAAAGACATAGGTGTAATAAGAAAAAAAATGGAATTTCGTATTACACGCACAAATATGTAACCGAGATGAATGTACCTACCCGCCCTAAAAGCAGCTCGGCCATAACACAACCAGCAGACCACATATCGATTGCAGTTGTGTACTCTGTTGCTCCAAATATCAGTTCTGGTGCTCTGTAATAACGTGAGCATATATACGAGATATTCGGTTCCCCAGGCACCTAAACCAAAAATAAAAAATAAATAAATAAATAAATAGTTTCCATATTATTATTGCACTCGATCAAAATTTTAATTTAAAAAAAAAACAAGAAAAGCTCACCAACATCTTTGCGCTCCCCAAATCACAAAGCTTAAGCTGATGTGTGTGTGGGTTAACCTGTGGCACGAGTCGTGTTTTTAGATAGAGAAAGTAATAATCATGTATAGATTAACAAAAAATAATTTATTTTTTTTAATAACTTTTAAGACAATATAAAGGCAAACATACCAGCAGATTCTGAGGTTTAATGTCACGGTGGCATACACCAATAACACGATGCATATAATTTAACGCACGGCAGATCTGTAAATAAATAAAGAAATTTCCTCGGGATTACAACCAAAGAAATGCATAAAAATAAAAATAAAAAAATGTTGCAGCAAAAATATTATTAGTACCTGATACGTATAAAGCTGTACGTACAAAACTGGCATGCACTGATTCACTCTGCTGTAATGTCTCGAAGCTCGATAAACAGTTTCGGACACGTACTCGAGAACAAGATTAAGGTAAACCTCGTTTTTTTCGGTAGTGGAGTAGAAGTAGTGTTTTAGCTGAACAACATTAGGGTGGTTAAGTAACTGCATTATCTGTAATTCTCTGTTCTTATATCGTCTATCTTGTAGAACCTTCTTTATAGCAACAGATTCCCCCGTTTCTAGACATTTTGCCTGCCGAAAAAAAAAAATCGAAAAAAAATTAAAAACAAAGTTGAACAAATATTCGTCCAAGACAGGACAAATTCGTAATTTATCACTTTCTTAGTACCTGATATACAACTCCAAACGACCCCGTCCCGACCACACGCTCAGCCATATAAGACATTGTCTGATGTAATAAAACAAATAAGTTTAAAAAAAATAAAAAATAAATAAAAATCCGATTAAAACATAAGCCACAAAATTCAAGAACCTGTTTAGGTTGTCCGTTTCTGCCACCGATTGAAGTGACGATTATCTGTCCGGTTTCGGTGCCGCTGCCACTAACAACAGTCGGCTCCATTTCCTGTAAAAAAAAGAAATTAAATAATCGAAAATAAATTACTTGGAATATCTGATCTTAGTACGAAGAATCAAAAAAACGAAACAAACCTTTCCGTTTTCATCACTGTCGTCAGTTTTATCCTCTCGTATTTTCATTTCATGCATTTCTTTAGGAAGTTCTTGAACGTCCGATGTGCTTGCGATAGCTCCCGTGGAGTCGGATTCGAAATGTGGTTCCGTTTGTCTCGTATATCTTTCTCCTGCGTTGTCCACTTCACAGACAACCATATGATCGATTTCTTGCTCCACTTTCACCCTTTTCATGTCAGAATCCCCGCCCTGTAATAAAATACATCAATCTTCAGAACAGCGCTAAACGTAAGTAACAGTCCAATACCCGAAAATCGATCAATTATGACTCATTTCAATTGTTTCCGATTATCGGTTTTTTTTTTTTAACGTTTTTCGAAGGAGCATTGCATGCTTAAAGGACTGCATTTCGACGAAATTCCATTAACATATTCGAGAAAAAAAAAAATCCTCAATCTCCCAATTCCCCAATTTAAGAAAGTATTAAAAAGGTGGATATAATAATGAAACTGCAGATTGAGAAGATGCAACACTGCACATTGGAAGATAATTATCAAACACCAAAGGATCTTTTTATAATTTAAGGTTATTTTCTCAAATTTCTCAGTGTTATAACTAAATTTAATTGGGCATTTATTTCTCAAATTTCCATGAATAGAACCATCTAAGAAAGATCAAAACCTAGCTCCTTTTTTTTTGTTCATCTTATTATAGCTAACTAATAATAAAGAGAGAGAGAGAGAGAGAGAGAGAGAGAGAGAGAATTACAGGATCTGAGACGGAAGAGCGGCCGGAAGCAATGCTCTTGAGGCGGCGCATCATATTCATTTTACAATCGACTTAGCCAATCCAACAACAATGGATAAAATCAAAACCTCAACGGCAAAAAAATAAAATTGAATTGAGAAAAATCAAAATTATCTTCTCTCTCTCTCTCTCTCTGGTGTCTGCCCTGCGTTTGAAACAGAAACAAGAGAGAGAGAAAGAGGCAAATGTAATGAAGAAATCAAACGATAATTAAAAATAAAATTAAGAGAAAAGACAGAAAAAAATCCTCTCTTTTCAAACAGAAATTGACAAACTCTTCTCTTTTTTTTCTTTTTCTTTTTCTTTTTTTTCTTTGGCAGTCAAAAGCTTCAAATCCTAATCATTATTCATTCCGACCACATTTCTTTTTCTTTGGTTTTCCTACTTGCGGTCAGACTTTTCTTTGGAGCCGTCGATTTTTTTTCATGGAGATCTAACGGTAACGGTGCACAGAGGCAGAGGTGATGAGGGTGAAATGACGGAAAAGGGGTTGCGTTTCAGTGGGAGGGGGGATTTATTAGGTGAGAGAGAAGCGGAATATTCGGGGGGCGGTGCCGTTTGGCTAATTTAATTTTGACCGGGCGTTACCTTTATTGGTGTTAAATTCAGACTTTTGAAATTTTGAATTCAATTCATCCTAAATAAATAACAATTAAAAATAAATATATATGAATTCGTGTTCTGATTTTCTTTATTTATATAATTATTTAATTCTACCCACTTGTGAGTAGGTGTTAGAGATTGGTCAGTTGCCGTACGCATGAAGTATAATTCAACTAGTTTCGAAAATGATAAATTAGTGAAAAAAATCTTGGTTAGATTCATTCAGTGCTATCCTATAATTATGTCACATAATGTAATAAATCACTTTTTTTGTCAAATATTGGAAGGCTTTGTTTGGTGTATTATGATGAAAAGGGGAATTTTTCATGGAGTTGGGTTTGACCAAAGGATTTCTTGATAGTCACAATTCCTATCTACAAATCCTACAATCTTGAAATAATTACTTAGAGATTTTAATTGAGCAATTATATAGTCTCACTACTCTAAAATATAGTATAATGTATGGATAAAATATAGCTATATAATAGTCATAAAAACACTACAATTAGTGGTTTCAAACTTAAATTCAATCCCATGTTTTTTTTAATCTATTCTTCTAAGCTTATGAAGTTTAGTTTTTAGTTACTTAATGTTTTTTTTCAAACTTTAAATATAAATTTTAGATAAACAAATCATATTCATTCTCAAATTTTAGAGTTGATGGTTTAAAGACTAGGATAAGTAGATATTATTAAATAACATCCCACTAAATGCACATACACATAAGTGTATGTAATTATGTATAATTTTACGATTGACATCCACCCAGTATAAATAATCAGCCAATCAGGTGTAGCCATCTAACTCGTTTTAAAAGTGTTGGGTCCGAGTCATGTAATTATCCGAAAAGCCCAACCCAAATAAGCCATCTAACTCGTTTTATTTTAGACGGCCCAATTATATTGATTAAATCAAACTGAATGGGCTAAAGCCTAAAACTAGCACTACCCAATTCACAAAATTATAATGGACTTATTTTATTCTTTTTTCCCTTTTCTCTTTCATTCAGGACCAACGCATAGTAAAGATATAAATGAATAAAATTATATTTGGTTTTTCACAATTCAAGTTTAAGAAAATTAAAAAAAAATTCCAATAATTTGGCTACTTGATGTCCCTATTCAATTAATCCGTTCGGTTTATTTGATGCTACATGCGATGAAATATATCGGGTGATTATTGACCGTTGGTCTGCACATACTTACATATACACACCCATGTGTATGTGTACTCAGTACGTAGGACGTTATTTCACCACACCAGCAGTTAAAAATCACCTGATATATTTTATCGAGTGTAGCATTTCAACCAACCTTATCTTTCCAAATCCTCCAAATATGACCTTTTTACACTGTTTGGCATATAGCTAAGAAGTCAACCTCGAGTCTTGGAATTATTTTTGAATAATTCCACTTGATTATGAAAAGTAGGGATTTTTCTATGACGAAAAATTCAACACATTGAGACTTTTTATACGTTTAGTAACTTTCATGCATGAGAAAGGAAGACCAGATCCTCTAATTATTTGAGGACCATGCATGCAACTTTTTGACTATTATCAATTTGGCACAACACGTAAATTGAGAAACTATGTAACTAATAAGTCAAATAAATAATTAGAATGATTCAACAATGGCTCGCAATTTTAATTTATGGGATTTTTTCCTCACATGTTTGGTCAATTAATCACTATATATATATATATATATATGTTCATTCACGTGTATGTTTGTTGTGATCCGGCCCAAACGAATCTATCGATCTAGAGCCCATTTTATCTTTAGTATTCACGATCAGGAAGAGAGTCCAGTTGTATTTAATGTAATAAATCACTTATGTGGAAAGATTTGCAAGACAGACTGATTTCATCCATTCGATCAAGGTTTTACATCATGACCATTGACTTCTCCTGAAACACTCTTCTGCTCTTCTCAACCACTCCGGTTGTATTCTTGCCTCTTTGCTCCGTCAGCTATGGGTCAAACTCGTCGTACTTGACAAACTTTCACTCATTACTCATTAGTGATCCATTCACCGATGATTTTTGACTTGAACCAATTAATCACATATTGTAACGTGGTACTAATTAATCACATATTGTAAGACAAATAAAATATTTAACATCTTCTAGTTATTTAAGGTGGACCAATTAATCAATTTATTCGGTGATCGAATCGTATCGATCGACATATCTCAAAAGCATGATATAAAATCTCAAATAATTTTGGGTCCATTCCACGTCTTATTCACTCAACATATATTCATACTATGAGATGTGAAAATACACCAATTTATTCATATATATACACACACATATATATAGAAGTCTCACAGTTCACACACACACTGGAGGTGTGGCAAGAGCTGGATACATTAATTTAATGGTCCCTCCTCCTACATTACCATGCATCTTGTGATGAAAAGACAGTTGTACTATTAATTTGATATGTCAAATTGAAAATAATTGAAATAAAATAAAGATCCCATTGTATGAACAAATTATAGGAATTTATTGAAAAAGGTTTAATTTTTCATACTCCTTTTTGTCCTATTTTAAGTTTTATTACTTCTTTCATTCACACAGTCAAAAAAAATAAAATAATTTTGAATGAAATCGAGAGCGATTTAAACCTTTTGTGTGGTTTATGGTTTAACGTATAAGAGCGTACTTTTAACCAAGTCCATATTTATAACTATGAATTAATTACTTCATAATTGCTTAACTTTAGAGTTCTTATGGGATCCGATATATTATTAGTGCTGGTATGGTCGCATCCACAAAGTTAATTTGAATTAAATGAGATTTGATTAATTACTTATTGAATACTAAGATCGATGAAAAAACCATAGCTTATTGAACAAGACTATCAAGAAATAAAATTGCACTTTAGGCGAACTAAATCGACCAAAAAACGAAAAATCCATTTCACACACACAAAAAAGAAGAAAAAAAAAAAAAAAAACTGTTTTCCGGCCAACTCAAGGGTAATACTGAGTCAATACCCGAACCACCACACTTGCATTCTCCTAACCGCCGATGCCTGCCGAACAGTGGCGGCGCCACTCAGCTCCGATCATGGTTATTCTGCGCGTGGTTCGTTCTTGACTCACCCCCTAAATTGCTGAGTCATTATTTTACCTCAAACAGACGTACATTTTCAACCCTCCCACCCCCCAAACAAACCCCTAAATTTAATTCAAATTACACCTACACACCCCTATTCATTATAATTTATAATACTCCCAAAATAAATACGAAAATTGAAATAAAAAAATTGCGGGCCCCACAATCAGTTGTCGCAATGGAGAGCGGCCCTGATTTTCTGAACGGTGCACGAGATGAGATTGTTGACCGTCTCCACGGACTCTACGGTGAGCTTCGCCGTAGGGAGGCTGTTCACCAAGATCTGAAACCCCACCGTCAGGAGCGACCCGCCATTTCCGCCCGACCCGTCTCCGGAAACGGGCCCACCCCCGCCCGTCCCATCTGGCATGATCGAGAATCCCGACGGAAGCAGCGCCACGTAAGCGGAATCCCCGCCGTTCATCACAAGGTGCATGGCAGGGATGTCGACGGGCGCGTACACCACAAGCGCCCCCGCCGCGTCGATGCACGTCTCCTGGAGTATTAGCATGCTGCTCTGGCTCGAGTTCACGGCCTGCAGTTGAAATTACAAAATTACCCCCGA